CACAGAAACATCAGCAGTGATCAGCTCTCCAAAGGCTACACTGGTTCATTTGATGCTAGTGTTTCTGAAAACAGATGCGGGCAGATTCCATCCTGGCCGAAGAGTCTAGTAGATACAACCAGAGATAAAAATGGAAAGAACAGGGGGAAAATCGTTTTTAGAGAGATTATACTATGTTTAATGTGTAATAGCCATAAATCTTTGATGCAGGACTGGTACAGAGCAGAGGAACTGGGCTATAAACTATGAAGTTGAAAGCAGCTGGCCTCAATCCTTTTGTCGTTTTTCTTCATAGCATTTTTTTCTCCCTTTGTCTTTCTAACTTGTACTATAACATGCTTTTCCCAGCTTTTGTTGGATCATCTAAGAGTTTTTTTGATCACGTCGTCAGCCTGCAGTTTGCCTTCAAGTCGAGCGCTTAGTTGAATTCATGCACAGTTGTTTAATAAAAAATGGAAAATCAGGGATTACATGAGCGCACAAACGAGTCATTCCACGTGCCGTCCTGCTTTGTCATTTGAAGGCTTTTTTACATGCTTTTCATCAGTGTCACTCTGACTAAAATATATTAAATTATCAAAGGAATAATTAATCCAAAAATAAAAATTAATTTGTTTATCATCATTGTTCCAAACCTGTATGTTATTATTTGGTCCATGGAACATAAAATGAGAAATCTTGAAGCATCTTCTCACAGTTCTTTTCCATACATTGAATGTCAGACTTCATTCAGCATATTGAAATGTTTTCTTCTGTTCTGTTCTGCTTCAAACACCTCCGGAGAAACGGTGAAGTTTGCCATCAACGACATCAAACCTTGCACAGTGCATCAGCATCAACAAGCAATTTGTGCTGATTTTTAGAGAATAGTGACCTTCAAAATTTGTAATTTGTTCACACAGAGCTTATGTATGACTTCAAAAGACTTGTGCACACAAATTATTTGAAAAAGTGTTGGTTTTTGGTTATTGGCATTGTGGGTCAATGGACAGGTGCTCGTTTGATCAACTACTACATATGCCAAAATGTGCAATATACAACCGAACATATTGTTGTGGGACCATTTATTTATTGTCCTTGACCCATTATTTATTCACATTGGCAAAAGAGATGATTTTCTTTCCACAAAAAGTCAAATAGCCATATTTGTTTCCGAAATAACTTATAATAATAATAATAATAATAATACTACATCTGCAACGTGAGGGTCAGAGTACTACTGTTTGAAACATTTATTGTTGTCTACTTCAACAAAATACTATGTATACATGATTTTCTTTCCACAAAAAGTCAAATAGCCATATTTGTTTCCGAAATAACTTATAATAATAATAATAATAATACTACATCTGCAACGTGAGGGTCAGAGTACTACTGTTTGAAACATTTATTGTTGTCTACTTCAACAAAATACTATGTATACTATATATTTTTTTAATTTAAAATGAACTGTCATACATGTAGTATGAAGCCGTATGTTAGTAGCAGTAATAGTAATGTGAGTAATGCTGCTTCGCACAATGCATTGCATTGACTACAGTTTCAGTGGTGAATCTGATGGTTTTTAGCATCTACTTGCATATTTAATCAAACTGAATTAAGACAGTTTTATACAAAATTAAATCGGAAACTCACATTAGCCATTTATATTTTTGATATGATTGTAGTTATCATTAAACCTGATGCTATGTAATAGTGTAGAATACTACGTGATTTGAAATGTTGTATAATGTCTATGGTTTTGCATTGTATTTAGTAGAAAATAGAAGGTGTCATACAGTGGCAACTTTGTGTTTTTAGTATTCAGTAAGCAGTGTATTTTTCCATTTCCTGGCTGGTAGCTTTGTGTGTTTGGTTGTAGAAGCAGAATACTGCACTTCTCTGCCTCACTGCCTCGCTCTTCACATGATATCAATGCGATACCCCAATTATTCCAGTTGAGTCCTACCGACACTCTCAGGACTTATTTTCTGCTTTTTCTACTGCAGCTGTAAAATAAATAATGTAATTGCTGAATCACCCACATGCTTTTTCAGCAGAGCAGATTGTGTTGTGAACATTCCGGGTTCAATACAAGTTAAGCTTTATCGACAGCGTCTGTGACATGCTGTCGATTGCCACTGGAAAATAATTTTGACACACCCCTCAGCTTGTAAAAACAAGCAAAAATCATTTACATTAATGTGCTTATAATGGAAACCTATGAGACGAGGCATAAAATACACTTTATAATGTAGAACCACTACTGAAGATGTGCTACATTATAATCTTGTCGGTTTAAACCGATTCCTGCCATGAACTTTTAAAGCTGGATTCTGGATTATGTGATTCCTTCCATGTTTTCTGCCTAAAGGAAATCATAGGGCCATAGTTAGTTTTTGGCAGTAGTTGTTGAATGAGTTGTGCGAGTAAGACTGTATGTGTTGAGTCATTCAGGTTAGATGCTGTTTTCAGTTATGTAAGGACTTTAGTTAGTTTGGCCCCTGAGGGCCGATGGGATGAGTTTTGGCAAGAATGCATGTGAATGTGTGAGTTTGTATGGCGTGGAGAGGCTTTGGTTCGTACAACAGATGTGTTCTCTGCTATTTCCAGTTCTTTCCTCCAAACCCTCTCATTTTCCAAAACACTGGCCTTTTCTTTCTCTCCTGTCCGCCTTTCCTCTGCTCTCTAGATTCTGGCTGATTTGGCCCTAGGCCTGTTTTGTGGTAACTGCTAAATGAGCAGTTTGTGGATGGTCACAATCCTCTTCTATTGTGAACAGACTTCTGGTCATTAAAGTATTCAATCTCTCTCACGCTTTCGTTCAGGTTCAGAGGTCGGATTGGCCTCCCAGCTGTCCTGAAATCAGCTCTGTAATAACTCTCCTGCATATGGCACGCAATTCAATGCTGGCCCATCTGATGGCATCTGAGCTTCTCAGCTGTCACTCGCTCATTCACATGCTCCCTTTCCGGTTTCATTTACACATTAATCCTTGTTTAGAGAAAATTAATCAAAACTGAATGGAAAAATATATTGCATCAAAAAAACTCTTTGTTTGGGCTATCAATTCAATTGTTTTCAGTGATTAACTTCTAAGGCTGGGCAAATTATTATTATTTTTTCGATAAATTTTTTTTTTTTTTAAATGACGTCGATTCGATATCGGTTCTCAAAAGCCACGAATTGATCTTTCTCTGTATTTCAGCAAATTAAATCCCATCAAAGTTTAGTTTAACGTGAAGAACCTGTGACAAATATATTATTATTGTGCAGTCTTAAGACTCGATGTAACAACAATAGTAGTAGTAGTACTACTACTACTAATAAATATTAATGACTTTATTTTTAAAGAAATTATCACATTTGTTTTCTTTTTAACAGTAAAACTCTGTTGTGTGGCACTTCGTTTGCAAAAAATAAAAGGGTTTAATTTAATTTGATTAGGATAAGTTAAATAGTTTTATGCCTTGATTTAGGGCTGCACGATTAATCGCAAGCGATATTTAACGCGCATCTTATCAGTAAAGCCGGTTCTTTAATCAGCGGTAAATCTCCATCACCTGCGTGCTTTCACATTGAGCAGCATTAACTACACAGAGCCGTTGTTCACTGACGAGCTGCGCAAAACCACGTTCATATTCGCGCGATTTTTAGCGCAGCTCCTCAGTGAACAACGGCTCTGTGTAGTTAATGCTGCTCCATGTGAAAGCACGCAGGTGATGGAGATTTACCGCTGATTACAGAACCGGCTTTCTGACAAGATGCGCGTTAAATATCGCATGCGATTAATCGTGCAGCCCTACCTTGATTTGATTAACAGAAAATTTAGGGCAAAAAAATAGGACCCTATACCAAAAAAAACCCCTATATTTACTGAAATCAAAATATCGAGAATTGAATCAAGAATCGAATCGGATCGAATTGAGAATTTGCTAAACGGAATCGAATCGGGACATCTGATTTGATACCCAGCCCTATTAACTTCCTTCATTTGGCGTGACTATAAAATATATATATTTTTTAATTAAATGTAAAAATATAAAACTAAACCACAATAATACAATACAATTTGTTTTGTCTGCCATAATTTTATTGCATTCCTACTAGGGCTTAATCGAAATAAAACCGAAATCATATCGTTCAGTGCAGTTACTAAATCACAAAGGCTGTGTGTATTTAATTAATAGTTATTATTTAATTCATAGTGAAACGTGTTCATACTTTAAGTGTTAGTGTTGTTTTCCTAAACACTCGATTTTGTGAAATACTACAATAGTAATTTAATTTCTTAGTAATTTTATATTTTATTTAATATTTATTTAAAATAATATAATTGTTTAATAATAACTCTTATTATTATTTTAAATAATTATTGTATAGCCATATTGATACTATATATAATCACACAATTCTACAGCCCTATAAGCAAGCACAGCAAACCTTTTTTTTAAGGCACATTTTAAAATCGCAATCACAATTTTTATCATAACATTTGGATTTTTGGCCCCCAAATTGTGCAGCCCAAAGTCCTGCTAATTAAGTATCGTGTCGGGTTTTTCTATGCTCCTGATATTTTATTGTTCAGACAAACAAGTAGTCCTGCCCCAAACCTACACTGGTTGAGCCAGATCAGAGCAAAGTTTCTCAGCACCACCATGGTCAAACTCCCCAGAAATGTTAAACTCCTTCAAGAATGCAGTGAGACCTCCTGCTGTATTCACTCTCTCACTCTCTGCTGTGAACGGGGCGGTCTGTGTGCGCCAGATCTTTGTTCTGTCTCCTGGTACTGACCAGATGTCTGTTCAGATGCCACTTGCCCTATTTGTAATATGCTCATTATAGAATGCAAAAGACCATGTGTTGATGAATTATTGAGCTGTGTTGTCTTTTGCTGTCCCAAATTTGCAATTCTGTTTTGTTAGAGTCGTTGTTTGATGTTTTGCTGTTTGCATTGTACCAGGTGCATGACATTAAAGCCTCCGCTTTGCCAATAATCTGCGTGTTTGTATGTTTTTCAGTCGGGGAATTCGTGAGTGACGTCCTCCTGGTGCCAGAGAAGTGTAAATTCTTCCATAAGGAGCGTATGGACATGTGCGTGAGTCATCAGCAGTGGCACGGTGTGGCCAAAGAGGTACGATATCAGCATCCAGTGCCACATTAAGACACAAACTACATAATGCACATTAACGCCTATTCATATACAGCACAACAAGTAATGCAAAGGTGCTACCAGCGCAACAGAATAGAAATCTAATATACAGCTTTGAAAAGCCTGCATTTAGACCAATGAGATGTATATGAGATATTGAACAGATATAGGGAATACAAAAGATTCAGATGGAGCCAAATCAGATTGAAATGGAATTAGATCTGCTACTGAAATTCTCATTGGTCGATGGATGTCGCTGAAACAGCTCGCAACTTTTAGCCACTGTGACAGATGAAATCTGTGTGATGAAATAATTTTTATTTTTTCCCAAATTCCATTTTTATTTTTTTGGAATAATGTTTTAATGGTTGAATCATATTTTAGTAATCAAAAAGTAAGTGTCTAATTAAATGAAATATGTACAGTTTAACAATGATTTATTAGAATTTTACTGAAAATTTATTTTTTAGGACCTTTTCTTTTCTTTTCCCCAAATTTTATTTAATTTTTCCTAAATTCCATGTTTTTGTTTTTCTGGATTCCATTTGATGGTTTAGTTGAATTTTAATAATCAGAAAGCATGTCTAATCAATAGATTCATAAAATATTGTAACATTTTAATAATTATTTTGTTTATTTTATTTTATTTTTTACAAAAATAATGCTCTCAGAAATAGTGCCCTTTCTCAGAAATTCTCTATTGTTTGTTCAGATTTTTCAGAATTTGTTAAAACAGTAACAATTAATCAGTCTTTTTTCAATGTACTGGAAGTAAATGAAAAACCAATAGTGTCGCACTCTTATTCTCTCTCTCTCTCTCTGTCTTTCCTGCTGAATGCTCGAATCCTCACATTTCATAGCTGCTGTAATACTGCTAATCTCTAGACTTCTGCCGCCTCACACACACATGCACTGCTCTCCAAATCTGCTATTGAACAGTTCATTTTACACTAGCTCACAACTCATGAATACTACTCTGCTTCTGTCTCTCGTTTTATTAACCGTCTTTCCAGTTTCCCTGCCGTCTGTGCTGTCTTTTCTAATTGCTGGCATGTCCACCCCCTCAGTCCTGATTCAGCTTGAGAATCTTCCACACTTTGAGTTTTTGTAGAACATTTTCACAGTTTTGTCTGTGACAACTGCATTCATTTGCAGGCTTAAGTAACTCCTGATATCCCGAGCTTGCGTAACTTGGGGTCACTTACTAACTGGAAGTTTTCTTTGGGTCACTTACTAACTGGAAGTTTTCTTTGGGTCACTTACTAACTGGAAGTTTATGATGATGTGTGGCCAAAATGGCAAAAAAAAAGAGAAAAAACACATCAATGGAGAATCTCTTTATAATAAGGAATCAACATTTTAGACTCATGCACTACTGTTATAGTTATTAAATGAAATATGTACAGTTTAACAATGATTTATTAGAATTTTACTGAAAATTTATTTTTTAGGACCTTTTCTTTTCTTTTCCCCAAATTTTATTTAATTTTTCCTAAATTCCATGTTTTTGTTTTTCTGGATTCCATTTGATGGTTTAGTTGAATTTTAATAATCAGAAAGCATGTCTAATCAATAGATTCATAAAATATTGTAACATTTTAATAATTATTTTGTTTATTTTATTTTATTTTTTACAAAAATAATGCTCTCAGAAATAGTGCCCTTTCTCAGAAATTCTCTATTGTTTGTTCAGATTTTTCAGAATTTGTTAAAACAGTAACAATTAATCAGTCTTTTTTCAATGTACTGGAAGTAAATGAAAAACCAATAGTGTCGCACTCTTATTCTCTCTCTCTCTCTCTGTCTTTCCTGCTGAATGCTCGAATCCTCACATTTCATAGCTGCTGTAATACTGCTAATCTCTAGACTTCTGCCGCCTCACACACACATGCACTGCTCTCCAAATCTGCTATTGAACAGTTCATTTTACACTAGCTCACAACTCATGAATACTACTCTGCTTCTGTCTCTCGTTTTATTAACCGTCTTTCCAGTTTCCCTGCCGTCTGTGCTGTCTTTTCTAATTGCTGGCATGTCCACCCCCTCAGTCCTGATTCAGCTTGAGAATCTTCCACACTTTGAGTTTTTGTAGAACATTTTCACAGTTTTGTCTGTGACAACTGCATTCATTTGCAGGCTTAAGTAACTCCTGATATCCCGAGCTTGCGTAACTTGGGGTCACTTACTAACTGGAAGTTTTCTTTGGGTCACTTACTAACTGGAAGTTTATGATGATGTGTGGCCAAAATGGCAAAAAAAAGAGAAAAAACACATCAATGGAGAATCTCTTTATAATAAGGAATCAATATTTTAGACTCATGCACTACTGTTATAGTTTGGGGTCAGTAAGTCTCTTATGCTCACCTTTATTTTAAGGGTGCATTTATTTGATCAAAAATACAGTAATATAGTATGAATTAATGAATTATTACAATAGAGTTCACCTGCTTTCTATTTTAATAGATTATAAAATGTAATTCATTTCTGTGATAAATTTTCTAGCAATCATTACTCCAGTCTTCAATGATTTTTTAGAAATCAGAAATTCTGACATGTTTCAGATATGCTTCAGAAATTCTTATATGCTATTCAGTTATTATTGGTGCTCAATTATTAAGTGCTTATTATTATGAATGTTGAAAACAGTTTTTGCTGCTTAATTTTGTGGAAATGGTGCTACTTTTTTTTGATGGATAGGATTCTTTGATGAATAGAAAGTTACAAGGAAATAATTTATATTTAATATGTAATAGAATTTATTTTGTAACAATTATGTCGTTGTCACTTTTGCTTCATGACCAATTTAATGCATTCTTGCTGAATAAAGGAATTAATAAAAAATAAAAATCTCGTTCGTGGTAGTGTATCATTCTTGCTTAAAATTCATAAAAATGGTTTATATATTTAATAGTTGTGTGGTAATTCTAATCTTGTGAAATTAAATACTTCACAAATGAAATACTTAATCTAGATTTATTTTGTCTTAAATTATTAAATTTTGAATCCAAACGATAAGATTCATAACTTAATCAATTTGAATGAAAAAAATCTCAATATCAAAACTGTAATGCACTAAAATGCTTTGATTGATTTTAGACTCATGCACTACTGTTATAGTTTGGGGTCAGTAAGTCTCTTATGCTCACCTTTATTTTAAGGGTGCATTTATTTGATCAAAAATACAGTAATATAGTATGAATTAATGAATTATTACAATAGAGTTCACCTGCTTTCTATTTTAATAGATTATAAAATGTAATTCATTTCTGTGATAAATTTTCTAGCAATCATTACTCCAGTCTTCAATGATTTTTTAGAAATCAGAAATTCTGACATGTTTCAGAAATTCTTATATGCTATTCAGTTATTATTGGTGCTCAATTATTAATAGTGCTTATTATTATGAATGTTGAAAACAGTTTTTGCTGCTTAATTTTGTGGAAATGGTGCTACTTTTTTTTGATGGATAGGATTCTTTGATGAATAGAAAGTTACAAGGAAATAATTTATATTTAATATGTAATAGAATTTATTTTGTAACAATTATGTCGTTGTCACTTTTGCTTCATGACCAATTTAATGCATTCTTGCTGAATAAAGGAATTAATAAAAAATAAAAATCTCGTTCGTGGTAGTGTATCATTCTTGCTTAAAATTCATAAAAATGGTTTATATATTTAATAATTGTGTGGTAATTCTAATCTTGTGAAATTAAATACTTCACAAATGAAATACTTAATCTAGATTTATTTTGTCTTAAATTATTAAATTTTGAATCCAAACGATAAGATTCATAACTTAATCAATTTGAATGAAAAAAATCTCAATATCAAAACTGTAATGCACTAAAATGCTTTGATTGCTTGTAGTTTTAGATGTAAAAAACCAAGCATTCTTTATAAAAAGTAAAGCAAAATCTCCATGTCTGTGAAGTCATTGTGAAAACTCTAGCAATGTTTTGGCATCTCACATGTCAGCATGAAATATGTATAGCAACAGTTTTTGAGTTTTGAACTAAAGTTAGCATCCCAGACACGTATTGTCATCACTACTTCCTCGCTAATGAATTTGCAGAATGCTGTGAACTGTGGGTACAGAATAGGGTTGAGCATGTAGAAGAGGACACAACTGAGTGTGTACGTGGTCACAATGTGTGTTGGTACTGTAAATCACCCCGAGCTGCTGTCACTCATTCTCAGCGTGTGCGTACTGAAAGCATCTCCGTGCGCTGACTCTACTGATCCCGGGACAGACATTTAAGAGCTCTGCTGAATTTCTTCAGGCTGTTCTTACACAGTAGACCGGCCTTTCAAAGCACATTTGTTCTAATTGAATGGGATTTCTTGACTCTCTGTAGGCCTGCTCTAAGGGGAACATGGTCCTGCACAGCTATGGCATGCTGCTGCCTTGTGGCATCGATAAGTTCCACGGCACTGAATACGTCTGCTGCCCGTCTACTCGTCCTGAAGAGCCCGCACCTCCTGCTTCACCCTCTAAAGAGCTAGATGAAGAGGATGAAGACGAGGATGAGGAGGTGGAGGAGCCTGTCATTGAGGATGAGGATGAGGAAGCAGTAGAGGAGAGGTAATGTAGTGCATGTACATGTGATCCACCATGGATGATGACTGTAATAAGGATAAAGATAAAGTTTTAAAAATCATTCTAAACTACACTACACTACAACTACAGGGATAACAACGCAGGGGAACAATATAATTGGAATCACTTTCAGAACTATTTTATCCAGCTGATCAACAATAAAAACAGGCATAAAAATGTTTTACCTCAATTTACCTTGAACTATGAACAAGAAAACAATATCATTGTTCACATGAAAAAGCATTTTATTGAAACTTTTACACACCAGGGGCCTGTACCATGGTGGTAGATGAACAAATTCAGAGTCACAGGATTAGTTTCGAGTTGACGAAACCAAACCACTCCAATCCGGCTTTGTTGGGACCATGATGCTGATCATCAACTTTCTTTATGAACTTCGGCTTTGATCCTTAGTTTGTGGAGTGCATGCACATGAATGTGTGACATCACTGGCGAACAGCCAATCACGAGCCTTGGTTAAAGGTTAAAGGTTTTGATAAAGGTCAAGAGATTGAAGAATATGATGAATTTAAATGCATTTACAATGGAAAAAAGTACTTGTTCATGAAAGGACAAATAAACAATGATCTTGCTCTGTCAGTGCAGTCACAAGTGAAACTTAAGTTAGTTTATATAGTTGGAAATATACAGCGATAGAGACTCAAACATGTAAGGTCACGTAGTCATTTTTAAAAAGCGCTATCTATTGATTCTACAGCTCAGTCATGTGGTAATGCTAATCTTGTGAAATTAAATACTTCACAAATGAAATACTTAATCTTGATTTATTTATTTTTTAAATTTGTATAAAATTTTCTACATTTATTTTGTTGGGTGTATTTATATTACATATGATCTGTGTATGTTAACATTCATTTAAAATGATTTATAATAACTGTTAAACTAAAATTGCTTGTGTGTAATGGATTAATAATTATATAAATCATATAAAATAACTCTTAAGTAATTATCATTAAAGCCAGACCATTTTTTTTTTTTTTTAGTACTAGTGACCTTTATTTTGGAGCAAGAGAAACTGGGGGAGTGACTTTTTTTGCATCGGACATGTCACTTCTCACATCTGATTGGTCCAATTTCAGTTTGAGATCTCTAACTCGGAACATAACCTGCCCCAGAGCAGGTTAGTGGTGGAGTGTAAGTTACCATGGCAATGAACACCGCTAAAAGCCAAGCCACTTTCATGTTACCTAAAACCCAGGATTGGTGCAAACTAAACTGAAACTTACCTGGCTAGCCAGCTGATCTGGCTTCATGGTACAGGCCCCAGGTCAAGGTTGTGTGTTTATTTCTTTTTTTTAAGCTCTGATTAAAAAAGAAGAAACTTTTGAACAGTAGTGTACATTACAACCGACCTGTTACATTACATTTTTTTACTTGTAGAATAACTGCAGTAGTACAGTAAAAAAAACAGATTTTGTGTAGCATTTTATACGATTAGTTGTTTTATTTTTATTAATAATGTCATTCATTGTAGAGGAGAGGTAATGTAGTGCATGTACATGTGATCCACCATGGATGATGACTGTAATAAGGATAAAGATAAAGTTTTAAAAATCATTCTAAACTACACTACACTACAACTACAGGGATAACAACGCAGGGGAACAATATAATTGGAATCACTTTCAGAACTATTTTATCCAGCTGATCAACAATAAAAACAGGCATAAAAATGTTTTACCTCAATTTACCTTGAACTATGAACAAGAAAACAATATCATTGTTCACATGAAAAAGCATTTTATTGAAACTTTTACACACCAGGGGCCTGTACCATGGTGGTAGATGAACAAATTCAGAGTCACAGGATTAGTTTCGAGTTGACGAAACCAAACCACTCCAATCCGGCTTTGTTGGGACCATGATGCTGATCATCAACTTTCTTTATGAACTTCGGCTTTGATCCTTAGTTTGTGGAGTGCATGCACATGAATGTGTGACATCACTGGCGAACAGCCAATCACGAGCCTTGGTTAAATGTTAAAGGTTTTGATAAAGGTCAAGAGATTGAAGAATATGATGAATTTAAATGCATTTACAATGGAAAAAAGTACTTGTTCATGAAAGGACAAATAAACAATGATCTTGCTCTGTCAGTGCAGTCACAAGTGAAACTTAAGTTAGTTTATATAGTTGGAAATATACAGCGATAGAGACTCAAACATGTAAGGTCACGTAGTCATTTTTAAAAAGCGCTATCTATTGATTCTACAGCTCAGTCATGTGGTAATGCTAATCTTGTGAAATTAAATACTTCACAAATGAAATACTTAATCTTGATTTATTTATTTTTTAAATTTGTATAAAATTTTCTACATTTATTTTGTTGGGTGTATTTATATTACATATGATCTGTGTATGTTAACATTCATTTAAAATGATTTATAATAACTGTTAAACTAAAATTGCTTGTGTGTAATGGATTAATAATTATATAAATCATATAAAATAACTCTTAAGTAATTATCATTAAAGCCAGACCATTTTTTTTTTTTTTTAGTACTAGTGACCTTTATTTTGGAGCAAGAGAAACTGGGGGAGTGACTTTTTTTGCATCGGACATGTCACTTCTCACATCTGATTGGTCCAATTTCAGTTTGAGATCTCTAACTCGGAACATAACCTGCCCCAGAGCAGGTTAGTGGTGGAGTGTAAGTTACCATGGCAATGAACACCGCTAAAAGCCAAGCCACTTTCATGTTACCTAAAACCCAGGATTGGTGCAAACTAAACTGAAACTTACCTGGCTAGCCAGCTGATCTGGCTTCATGGTACAGGCCCCAGGTCAAGGTTGTGTGTTTATTTCTTTTTTTTAAGCTCTGATTAAAAAAGAAGAAACTTTTGAACAGTAGTGTACATTACAACCGACCTGTTACATTACATTTTTTTACTTGTAGAATAACTGCAGTAGTACAGTAAAAAAAACTGATTTTGTGTAGCATTTTATACGATTAGTTGTTTTATTTTTATTAATAATGTCATTCATTTCATCAACCGATTATCAGTAAAATAAGTTCCCAGGCGTGGAAGTTGAGCTCTAATTTAATCAAACTTAGTTATTGCTAAAAAACTGGCTGGCTCATAAGTCATCGTTTTTGTATTGTCAATTATTTACTCATCCAAATTTTTGGAGGAGGCACAGCCTTCTGAATCCGAACGCCCCAGCACGCTTATCAAAGGATGATGTATCAGTATGACTGTGATCTGTCGTATCTTATCACGCTTTGAGGAGTAGTAGCTGAAGCATTGTGTGTGAGAGTGTGCGCCGTGTGAGCGTTTGTGTAGGATAAATTAGGTTGACTATCTGGATATTTTCGAGTGCCATGCCTTTGACCTCTGACAGCTGCTCGATTCACTTCCATAAATCATAAAACCTCCAACCTGTGCTCCTCCTCTCCCTCTGTTTCCTATGTTCTCCTTCCCTCTCATCCCACTGTGCTCCTGTCATTTCTTTGTCATATCTCATCCTGCTTTTTTTCCTGAATTACACTGTCCTTCATAGTTCACCTAAAAATAAACATGTCGTCATTTACTTAAGTATTGTTTATGTACTATTATAACTTGTTTAAATGTTACTTTTTGCAATATTTTATTTTTAATGTTTTTATTAATTTTGCTGTGTGCTTTTGTCATGTTAATTTTTTGATGTCTATATATATATATATATATCTATATATCTATCTATATCTATATCTAATAAGAAATCAGGAAGGGGGCCTATATATATATATATATATATATCTATATCTATATCTATATATATCTATATATATATATATCTATATATAGATAGATAGATAGATAGATAGATAGATAGATATCTATATATATATATATATATATATATATAGATATCTATCTATCTATCTATCTATCTATCTATCTATCTATCTATCTATCTATCTATCTATCTATCTATCTATCTATCTATCTATCTATCTATCTATCTATCTATCTATCTATCTATCTATCTATCTATCTATCTATCTATCTATCTATCTATCTATCTATCTATCTATCTATCTATCTATCTATCTATCTATCTATCTATCTATCTATCTATCTATCTATCTATCTATCTATCTATCTATCTATCTATCTATCTATCTATCTATCTATCTATCTATCTATCTATCTATCTATCTATCTATCTATCTATATATATATATATATATATATATTTTTTTTTTTTTTTTTTATTGTTTAGTTTGTTTTAGTTATTTTAGTACTTAAACCAAAATTAGAAATGTTACCTTGACAAATAACTGAAATATTTACATTTTTAAAAAACTATTTCGGCTAATGTTTATTATATTTCAAGTAATGTTTTTTTGTTCATGGTTGTCGTTTTAGATAATGAAATTTACGCTCTTCATTCAAAGCATGTCTCACTTTCTCCTATGGATCAAAAAAAGGATAAATTGTGAAAAATGTTCAAGCTGCTCATAAATGCAAATTGCTATTTTGTAGCGCTTCAATATAGTTACTCTTTTAAAAGGGTACTTTGGCAGTAATACTATTTGAAATGTTGAATGGGGTGTAGATTGGGACTCTACTGCTGTAGATAAATGTAACTAAAGGCATTAAATTTGACATTACTTCAAAATAGTGTTCATTCTGTCTTTTCTTGTTTTTAGCGATCCTGTTGCCAACGAGCCGCCCACTCCAGAGGACACAGCTGAAGAGGAGGAGCAGGAGGACGACGGAGACGAGGAGGACTACCACTATGTGTATGAAGATGAAGAGGACGACCGAGACAGTGAGGAAAAGGACATGAAGAAAGACAAAGCTGCCATCCCTGAGAGCCAGGATGTTGACAAAACTCTGCAGGAAGTGGAAGGTCGGTATCACACTGTTTGCTACATTTATTTCCTTACTGCCACAGTGTGGTTCATTGATACATATCTCTGGTCCTCTTCACTGTAGAGGTTTACAATTATTGACTTTTATTTTAAGAAATAATGTAAAAAAAAAAAAAAGTATGCATTTTAATGTTTGGCATTGTCTATACATCCTATATAGTGCAACAGTCGGGGTCTAGAAATAAAAATCTCATTCATTTTTTCCAAAGAGAAATGGCTATATTTTATTTTATCAGTAATGTAAATGCCTTGCAAGAAAGATTAAGAAAATATACGACTCTGTTAAAGCCACATCAATGTGATATACATTTTATTTAATTTTTTTTATATCTGCATGCTATAGCCAGAATTACATTACCCAGAATCCTGATAAAGATGAATGCACCAATCAGAGAAGTCGCTGTTGCCATGGAAACATGGCAAATTTGGAAAATGGAAATTTCCCCTACACTCTCAAACTTATGTATTTCTAGGTATCTGAATATTTTGCAGTGAAGTTAATTTGTTTTATACTAAAAGCTCATTGACACCAAGAACGATAACTATAATGACAACTGTAAGAGAATAGGGAGGTCCACACCGCGACTATAACGATAACAGACTAACGATATTGTTGGAATCACTTTCAGAACAATTTTTTCCAGCTGATCAATGATAAAAATGCATATAGCCAATCAGAATCCATCCGACTTTAACCAACTTGAGCACTTAATACAACAAATGAAACTGGAGTATGGACGCTAATATAGTTATCGTTATAGTTGACGCCTTTATTGATTCCTCAATGAACATTCTAGGTGCAAGGTCTATGGAGAAAATAAATGGGAAAAATATTCTAGACCCAAGGCCGCTGAAGTGTGCGGTCACTGTTGCGCACTATAGTTGAAGGGCATTACTGATTGCTGCCCCCGGTGGCTGAAGGCTCTAACTGCGCCTCCCCTCCTGTGTTAGGTGTGTGTTCTCTGGAGGCGGAGACCGGCCCCTGCCGTGCCTCTATGCCTCGCTGGCACTTCGACATGCAGCAGAGGAAGTGTGTGCGCTTCATCTACGGAGGCTGTGCCGGCAACCGCAACAATTTCGACTCCGAGGAGTACTGCATGGCCGTTTGTAAACGTTTGAGTAAGTCACACTCGTCACCAAGGACTCCGCCCCCTTCTGCTCCGCCCTGCACCTTATCCTTGCTTTCTCTCACGATGCTAATGCTATGTTAGCTTACCTAGATGTCAATTTTAAAACAGCTTTGCTTTAAAACACCGTGTGTTGTAACCTCGGAATACGAATTATTGTTTTTAATTGGATGAGATGCAGTCAAAGCAGTTACAAATGGACATGGTACATTCTATATTAATGTAATTTCCTGTGTTGCCTTACAACTGTAAACACTTTGGGCTAATTAACTATTAGTTTTACTATTGGCAGACAAATTTTATTTCACCTTTTAAAATGGCTTATTGTTATTGGATTAACAGCAACATTTATTATTATTATTGTTGTTGTTATTACTATTATTGTTGTTGAATGTAATTATTTAATTTAATTACTAATTTAATCATAATAATAAAATATTATTAATAAATTATTTTGAGTTTCATTATATATTTTTATTTTATAACCATTTTAATTTTAATGTAATAACGTATTATATTTAATAATTGTTATTAATTATACTAATAGTCGTAATAGTTGTTGTTATTAGTAGCAGTAATTTCTCACATTTCTAAAGAAAGTAAGTTTTTACCACTGTTGATATGTTATTGCTTTAATCTTTTAATCTTATCTAATTCACTCTAAATATGGATTAACAGCAACATTTATTATTATTATTATTAATAATAATAAATAAATTAAAATGACTTATTATTTACTAATAAAATAATAATTACATTATTTTTTTTATTTAATTGTCATTTAGTAATAATATTAGTTTAATTACTATATATAATTACAATTACTTATTATATTTAATAATTGTAATAATAATAATATTTATTATTACTATTAGAATAGTAGTAGTAGTAGTAATTATTAGTAGCAGTAATAATAATTTAGCATGGGAATATTTATTAAATTGTTCTTACATTTTTCTAAAGAAAAAAGTCACGCAAGGCCATGTGTTTTTAACACCGTTAATGTGATGTTATTGCTTTAATCTTATCTAATTCAGGTTAATATGTTCTTATCCTGTTATTTCTGCTTGCACAGTGTCCCATCCTTTGTTACTCGGTCTTTGCTTTCGCTTTGTCTTTCAGCTCTAATCTGCCAGTGTTTTGAATTCATGTAGGAGTAGAAACCATCATCCTGTGTTCCTGTGGCGACATTTTTTTTTTTATCATGTTAACCTTCATAATTCAAGGTTTCTCTGGTGCTCTTATCAGTCTAGATGCTGAAGACTGTTTGTTCTCATCAATATGCATGTCTCATGTTGCCTTTTGTGCACAGCCTTATGGGTAATCATATCGGTCTTGTCATCTGTATAATAAGGAAATCTGATTTGAACTCATATCTTGATCATAGCGTGCAGAACTGCGCAGTAACTCTTAAGATAAATGCTAAGGAGAGCGCTTCTGTCAGAAGAGAGCTATTCAGAGGACAGGATGAAAGGAATGGGAAATGAAGGACTGTCTGGTTCTCTCAGAATCAGGGGAATTAAAAAATCATCTCTTGAGTCGTAGTTCTCTGTGGGAAGCTTATTCTTCTCTTTGGTCTGATCTTAGTTGTGTCATTTTCTCGGCTGCTCCTCCTTTGCTCCTCTGGACCTGTCTGTTGGTCTGCCTATCTATTTGTTTCTGTGTGTAAATGTGTTTAAAAAAAGTCTCTAGCTCTGTTACAAAAGATAGTGAGCTCCTTAAATGTCTGCTGGCTACCTAGAAGCCTCCTTAACTGTCATAGGAGCCTCATAAGTGACTGATTTGGAACACTTGGCTAATGGTCACTCATGCACCACTCGAATAGTACTCCTCACTTTAACCACACAAAAGGCCTGACTGACCCTCACAGTTTCAATAGAATACAACAGTGCTGCCCGCATTTCAGCAGATTTGAGCCTTGAACCTTGAACCCAACTAACCAGCCGCGAAGTGAATCAAAACATTACGAACTTTGATGTGAAGCAAAGTAGCTGAAAATAGGATAAAAAAGGTACAAGACTTTGTATTTGATGGCTTTAATGAAGGAAAGAACTACAGTCTCGTGGAGCATTGCAAATGACATAATACTATTAAAAATCAAGAAATATAATATGTATACCAAATACTATAAGTAGTCTAAAAAGTGCAGGAAAACTGACTCTACGTCATTCGCAGTGAATTATAGAAGTGGGTGGGTGCCAAAAAGTTATTTTGGTGCGATTTTTCTCATCACTGTTCTCCTATTGGTGGGGAATTCTCTGCAGAATCATGGGTAATGTAATTTTTCCACCAGGAATTTCACCCTCAAACAGGATTACTTGTGATGTAGAAATATGGCCAACAAAAGCTTATGCCATCAATTAACAACCTCGTAGTTCTGTCTGAAACGTTTTTAAATTATTGTTCAAAATCAATTCCTCTATGAAGTAAATGAATGGGATTGTTGCACTCTATAGAGTTTAATGTTAACATGTTGCTAAGCTAACAGCTTGATACTACTGCAATAAGATCAAAATACATTGCATACAAAAACTGCAAGATAAAGAAATGTACATTTTTAATGAAATTAAGCATATTTTTCAGTACTGAATAAATGTATTTAATGGACATCTCCCTCAACTCTTTTCATTAAGCTTGTCGCAGTGCATTAAAGGAAAGTTCACCCAAAAATGAAAATGTTCATCATTTACCCTCATGTCGTTCCAAACCTGTATGAGTTTCTTTGTTGAACATAAAACAAGATATTTTGAAGAATGCTGGTAATCAAACAATTGATGGTCCCCATTGACTTGGATAGTATTCCTTTCCCTACTATGGAAGTCAATGGGGAATAACAACTGTTTGGTTCTTCAAAATATCTTGCTTTGTGTTCAACGTAAGAAATAAACTTATACAGGTTTGGAATGACAAGAGTGTCAGTAAATGACACAATTTTCATTTTTGGGTGCATTTTTCCTTTAATGGACTGCCTTTTCAAGAAACTATACATGCAGTCCTGCCTTACATTCTGCCCAAAAAGATACCTTGAAAGACAGCATAATTTGCTGCCTACCTAGTGTCAACAGCAGCCTATGCTTCTGCAGTGTTGTGATTCCTAAAAATGCTTCTTATTTGGTTTTTGGGAGAGAGCTTGGATGTGCCACCTGTTTATAAACTCTCTCTTTACCCCCTCAGCTGTGCCACCCACCCCTCAACCCACAGATGATGTGGATGTGTACTTTGAGACCCCAGCAGATGATAAAGAGCACAGCCGTTTCCAGAAGGCCAAGGAGCAACTTGAGATCAGACACCGCAACCGCATGGAGAGGGTGAGTGAGAGGTCATATTTACAGTTTGTAAACACACGCTAGTTGTCATGTGACATAATGGAGTTTTTTTTTCCATGTGGCTATTCAGATTCCAGCCATTATTTGAGCCCCAAGTGATTTGCGTATGTTGTTCTTACCAGGTGAGGAAGGAGTGGGAGGAAGCTGAGAGCCAGGCCAGGAACCTACCCAAAGCTGAGCGACAGACACTGATCCAGGTAAACCTCAGCTTCTATGCCAGAGGACATCTCGTACAAGAGGTGACTGTTTATTTATGGGGTCTTCATTATTCTCACTGCAGCACTTCCAGGCTATGGTGGAGTCCTTAGAGGAGGAGGCAGCCAGCGAGAAACAGCAGCTGGTGGAGACTCATCTTGCCCGGGTGGAGGCCATGCTGAACGATCGCCGCCGTCTTGCCCTGGAGAACTACCTAGCCGCTCTGCAGGCTGATCCACCAAGGGTGAGACAACACACAATGACCTAATACACCCCGTTTACAACTGAAATTAACATCCTTATTGGTGGTAAATGCAGGTGTCAAACACTGCTGTCCACAGTCAAAAACATCTTTTAAAATCTACTTCAAAACAAGTTTAAGAAATATACTTATGTTGGTTTCATATGTTTTAATATAATATAATATAATTAAAATAAAAAATAAACTAAAATGTAATATAATAAACTTTTAAAATATAAATAAATAAACTTTTATATAATTTAAAAATAGATTTAATTTAATTACTTTAAAAATGTCATGTGGTGTAACCATCAGAAAGTAATATAATTGTTATACCCTGAATACATATGACTGTACTCATCTTTGTTTTTTTGTTTAAAATATTTTTCAAGGTGAAAAGGTTTAATTAATTAATTAATTATTAATTTATCATTAATTTATAAATATCATATTTTTGTACCAAGTGACATTTTACACCCTAACTAACTTTGCCTTGTCGAAGAGGTCAGTTTATCTGATAATTTAAGAGACTTGTTGACACAGTCATGAAGGTCTGCTGGTGTCCTGTTTTTTTCCTGCATGTTGGTTGCACCACATGACTTTGGTTTGACACGTTCTCCAAATATTATGCAGTATAGCAAGTTTTGTAAAGCTTTTTACTAACAAAATGATTATAAATTATTCTTATTCTATAATAAATAGTTTCTACCAAACCATATGTTTTTCTTTTCCAAAATGTATTTTAAAGAGGCTTTTTTTCCTTCACCATAATGACAGAACAGTTGTATCACGCTGACATTTTTGACTGACTTCGTTAATCATAATGAAATTAAAAACACGCACATCTAGAAAATCCGTGTATCATTCGATCATTTGTTTTTTGATTTAATATTGAAAGTAGAAAAATTTGAAAACTGATCCTTTTTCTTTTTTTTTCTTTTTTTTCCAAAAAAACGAGAATTCAGCTTAAATTTTTGTTTTTCGTTCATCGGTGGAAAAATGAATAAACAGTTTGAATATTTGATTTCTACATATGGGCGGGAATTAAACGCTGATTGGTCAGCCGAAGATCAAACTGTGCCATCATCAGTTCTTCTGCAGTATCACGCAGCAGAATAATAGTCCTCTGCTGCTGCTGTTGTACGGATTAATAACCCATTTTATCAATTTCATATTTTTCTCATCAAACAGACTAATGAATAGCTCGTCTAATGACAGAGTATTAAGTTCCCTCGATGGGGGAAAAATCCAAGTGAACATCAATCAGTACTCAATATTAATTTAAACTGCTTTAAATATGACTGCTGCTTATTTCCTGTGCACTTCAATACTGGTCTGCGCTTGACTGTAGTCGCGTCTGTCTGCTTATTGAGTTTATTTAACCCATCGCAATTTCGCAACATTGCAGTGTCCTGCTCGTGCTTGCCAATTTAATGGCAGAGAATGGTGACTTTAGTTGTTCTTTTTTTTTTAAGCGGATACATATCTGTCATAAAATAATCCTATGCATCTCGTGCCGTATATTCCAAGCATTCTGAACGTATACTGAGGGTTTGGTGAGAAAAAAACGAAATGGCAAGTTATTATATTTTATGAAAATCTTGCGTGGCAGCTCACGCATAGCCTTTTGAGATATCAATTATGATCAATTTTAATAAAACACAAGATTACATTATATAACTCTAACAGTAGGCTATATTTAATATCTGTTGTTCTCTGTTTGTCAGTCAAAATGAGAGTTCTTGCAATATAGGCCTATATATACCCAAGCCAATTTATTATTCTTTCCTTTCTTTCTTGGTGTTTAAAATATTTATTTTGAAACAAATTAATTAATTTCTTAATTAAACAAACAGACTTAATGGGTGAGCAGGGTAGGCTAAGACAGCTGTCATATCATACCCTGCCATGCCCAGCTGATGCAAAGAATAGAATTTATATCTACACAGAAGAAAGCCCTGTCTAGACTCTGCCCAGGTATGAGTTGTGTCGAGCTATTCATTAGCCTGTTTGTTTGATGAAAAAAGATTAAATGTAGTTGCAATAAATGTGTTAAGAATCCATACAACTGCAGCAGTGGAGGACTATTATTCTGCTGTGTGATACTGCGGAAGAACTGATGACGGCACGGTTTGATCTTCGGTTGACCAATCAGCAGAAAGGGGCGTTTAATTCCCACCCACATGTAGAAATCGAATATTCAAGCTGTTTATTAATTTTTCCACCCATGAACGAAAAACGAAAATTTAAGATGAGGAGCCGTTTTCTCATTTTTCTACTTTCAATATTAAATTAAAAAAACGAATGATCGAATGATACACGGATTCTAGAAGTGTATTTGAGTCATTGAATGTGTAAATGGCATGTTATGTAATAGATTTATCATGTCATTGAACCACCAATTTCCCTTCAAAAGCTGATCACAAGTAGTCACATGAGATGCATTTGAGGTGCATGCTATTCCCAAGTGTGGATGTTATTGTGTTGACCACATGTGATCAAATCACTTGAGATGCATGCAAATACCAGCCCACTGCTTGCTTGGAGTGACTTCCAGCATTGACAGATCCCTTCCAGTTTATAAATGAGCATGGATCATGTGCGGTCATGTGTGAAATGCATGCTCTGTGAGGGAGTAAAATAAGTTTGAGAGATAAGTGCTTCCTTGAAGGATTGGTCTCATCTCATAATGACCAGATTACACTTCTCATACTGTGGGATTGAATGATGGCGGATTACCCGTCCTCTATTACCCTGCTGAAAGCTCATAACAGGGAGGGTGGCTTCAGTTACTTAAGATATTAATTTGAATTGTGCACCTATGTAATGCTTAATCCCCTGAAATGACTTGCACGAAGAGAGCCAGAGCCGGACTCGCACAAGCAGGCACGTGCTAATCCTCTTGTTATTTCTCTGTCCTGCGGATCTTGCGGCTCTTTGATCCTAGCGCTGATTCACAGATCAGCCAGCTCATAAGGAGGCGTCTGCCTGACTCACCCTGCCTTTTATTTTCTCTCCTTTGTGGTCAATTTATCTTCTCTCTCTGTCTCTGCAGCCCCACCGTATCCTGCAGGCTCTGAAGAGGTACGTGCGTGCCGAGAATAAGGATCGTCAGCACACCATCCGCCACTACCAGCACGTTCTGGCCGTGGACCCTGAGAAGGCCGCCCAGATGAAGTCCCAAGTCAGTGTCGCCCAATCTGCCTCCTTTTCCTGCTAAATTCCATGTTTTCTATCGTCTTTTCTCACCTTGCAGAGTTTGTCTATTTATAACCGTTTTTCTAGCCTTTCAGTACCTGCTTAATAGACCGTAAATGACCCATTTGCAGGATGATTTCACAAAAAGCTCTTAAAACTGTGGCTGTTTGGCTAAACAGTGGTGATTGAAAACAATCATTGTCACCTACTAATTGGTTCAGTTAAGAGGCACAGGAATTACACACTTCTTCTTTAATGGTGCTTTCTGTGTATATTTATGGTGTTCAGATTGTCCAGGAGAGCCATGAGTGAGTTAGCATGTCTGGATTCTCTTGTTCGAACATTATATGAGAGATTTGCACCGCACTGCTCTTGTGTAACATCACACGTAGTGATTTGATTGGATGTAACTTAAGTCTGAGCCAATGGTGTGGTTCTATAATTTGCATTCCAGACTGGCCAGCACAGATGTTTGTCATGGGAGACGGGACATGGCACAGACCCAGAGGTGTTCACAGATCTAAGAATCATGGGAAACCAAACCCACATGCACAACAGTTTGTCCTGTGTATGTGTTTACTGACTGATGGCAGTTCCTGATTGTTTCAAATTTAAGTTTGAGTTAGGATAACCTCCAACTTGATTTGAAAATCCCGAAAGGCAAAGTTTTTTTTATTTTTTATTAAATTTTTTTCAAGTATATTAAGAATTACAACGACACATTAGCTACATATAAAACATATGCATTAAGTGACACCATTGATTGATAATGGTGAGAATAATCAGTCATGTTACTTTTTGCTGAATTTGAAATTACGTAACAACGGATCACTGCATCTTGCAACAGGCTCTTTAAATGTAACTATTTAAAACAAATTAAATTGAAAAACGGCACATCGCTGCACTCCCGCAAGCCAGTTGCAATGTAAATTGTGTGCGTGATTATGATTATTACAGTGCAAAAAGACTGTCTTTTCGGTGTTAATTAGCGCTTTTCAGCTAGAACTGCCATACAATCAGATAAAACCACTAAAGCCTGTCATTTTCTTATTAAAAAATAAGATGTTTTAATGAAAAAAATGAGAGCTTAGGAATTTTTCAAGAATGGACAAGAAGACTTTCTCAATTTATCTCATGAAATTTCTTAACTTTTTTATTAAGAAGATTTTCATAATTCTGCCCCTGAATCTGTAACCCTCGTCCCATTTAAAAGAATTTTGGGGACAATGGGACGGGTTAAAGGGATAGTTCACCCAAATGAAAATTGTCATTGGCTTTCCCTCATGTCATTTTGGATGAACTATCCCTTTATCAACTCATTTTATGTCATGTCTCATGTAGATTTTATAAAAGCAAAAATAGCAGTTACACTGGTGACTTGTGGGGCTGCGCTTTATATAACCATGTGTTTGAGAAATGGCAGTCCAGTCTATTTTGGCAACTCCTCTCAATTGAGTAGAAGTCCAGGTATGACTGGCAGACCAACATAAACTAACTTACTTCCTAAAGCAACAGTGTGACCGCTAAATACAGTATCTGAGGTCCAGACGGGCGCCTAGAAGGTCTACAAGGACATTTTAAGAGCAATTTCCCCCTTCGTTTTCTTCAGATATATAGGCCCTTCATTGCCATCTGTTGCTGGTTTTTAAGCATTGCACACAAACGCTGTGACAACAAAGAACCAGGCGTGGTTGCTCGTACACACGCACACATTTTACAGCCCACAGTCACAACGTTTTTTTCTCCTCACTGTTTACATATTAAGATTGCCACAAAGCTTTTGTGTTTCCTGAGTTACGTTGATCCATCCAACAATACACAACCACAGACAAGTTCCATCCTGCAGAATGGAGCCTTTTTATAAATATCATCTTGCGTAAGACATTCTGTTTTAAAAGTGTGTGTCTGGGTTTCCTAGGTGATGACCCACCTGCGGGTGATTGAGGAGAGGATGAACCAGAGCTTGTCCCTGCTCTATAAGGTGCCCTACGTCGCAGAGGAGATCCAGGATGAGATTGGTAAGTGTGGAGATCTGGATCAGATTTGGAAAATGGTGAAAATTGGCATTTTTGAAATCACATAAGCAAGAAACAAGAGAGAGAGAGATGATAATGCTTGGTATTTTTACTACTACTTCCTTTTGTCACATTATATTATTTGCGTCATGAACTTGATTAACACGGTAAGTACTAGTGGCAGGTATTTTCCTCTGTTGCTAAGTAACAATTTAGAAGGTGGCAGCTTCAATGTTTTACTCATGTTTTTGTCTATTTGGTTTTACCAATGCCCTTACATGCACAACAGTGTCTGCTGCTGAGAATATACTGATTCTGTCTGCCACAGATCCACCGTAAGAGATCAAGAATGTGAGATGTTTGCTTGCAAAACTCAAGCGGAACGGTCCAGTTTTTTTAGTGGCTTTGGTTCTGGAAGTATTTTTCTCATTCATTTTCTCCATAGGGAATTTAAAAAGAATTTTTAAAAGAAAAAAGAAAATCTGATTTTCCAGGTTTTAAGTGCTATAATCAGGTCCCCAGTGCATCTACCAACCAAGGAAACGTGAAAAAGATTAGGGATGTAACGATTACCGGTTTGATGATAAATCATGATAAAATTCCCCACGGTTAGTATTACGTTTCATCTTTTAATTATCATTAAAACCGTATTAGATTACCGCGATTTGAACAACTCGCGATAAATAAATACTGTCCAGTATAAAGCACAGTTTTAAGTAAGTCTCACGTGCGCACAGCACGCGGAGTAGTTTCGTTTTGAGTGAAAACAGGGCGGAAAAGCTGGGATGTTTTAAAATAATTATACAAATTAATATATGAATTAATTATATGAATGTACCTCTGACGGTTCTAACTGTCTTCAGAAACGATTCTATGGCATTTTGTTTTCATCTTCGCTCCATGTAATACCTGAAGGAAGTGTTCTTAATCGCAGTACTGCTTTGTCCACGGAGGTTACGAGAAACAGCTGTAATTCTGCTGCTCCATCAGCGCCACCTGCTGTCAGCGAGTGGATTTACAGAGACTTATATTTACATTGTGTGCAGTTTCTGTCTGGCCAAAAACGGACCGAATTTGCATGCCCTTGATGAAAAAAAGTCTTATGTGGATTCTACACATTTAAACAATTCAGATAAGTTATCTAGAATTATTTATGGAGCAGATAAAATACATATAATCATTTAATAATCAATTATCATTTTGACATATCTTTTCTTTATCTAAAGGCTGAAATGTGATGTTTACCATTTTTTTATGAAACTTTTTCAATGTTTTATTTGAACATTTACATTAGATATTTCAACATGCTATTAAACTGTTGTCATTTAAAATCCGAACATCATTGGTAATGTTATTGTTTTAGTGGTTATGCAAACAAAAAGTCATTTTGTTTGTCGTTTGTTGATTTTTAAATATAAAATTTGGTGAAGTGATTTGTGTCTTTTATGTGACTTATGTGTCTGTACTTTTTGAACATCTCCAGCACATTTTAACAATACCGTGATAATACTGATAACCGTGATAATTTCGGTCACTATAATTGTGATAAGAAATTTTCATACCGTTACATCCCTAAAAAAGATTAACCCAGTAACTTTGGTTTGGGAAGCCTTTTTCTGCAAGCGTCTGGGAAAAAGAGTGTCTGATTTCACTCCCTTGGTGACGTGGCAAAGGGATCTCATTATAATATTACCGCCCCTTAATCTGTAAGTTTCCACCCACGGCGCCGTCATTTTGATTTCGCAAGCGACAACGGTGTACCAGTTCTAATGCTATGGCGAAAGTTTGAGTAAAACATGCTAACTGTTCTGTCTTTGGCTGCACAGACGAGCACAGAACACGGTTTACAGTCCCAGCCTCAGAGGAGACAAGAGAGCAGTGGATTTATTGATTTATTTAATGTATATTGCTGCTGCCACACAGATCTAAAATAAACATGCGATTTATTTCCCAGCTGTTAACCTTCACAGACATAACCGACTGTTTTTGTAACGCGTGTGTTTTTAACGTAAACCTGTGTGTGAAAAATAACTTATTTTAGTACTTGCATGCCTGTGACAGCTGCTTTCTGTCCGTGTGCTTCGGATGTGTGCGCTCAGAAAACCGTATATCAGAAGTTTAAACTCATATGGTTTAAAATGCATGATTTCAGTGCGATAAACATGATAATCAGAACCAAAACAGATGTTATTAGCAGGTGCGAGCTGTAATGGCACAGCTCTATTCTGGAAAAGGGGGCGGGGAGCAGCAGCTCATTTGCATTTAAAGAGACAAGCACAAAAAACAGCGTGTTTCAAACGGTGTACTCAGATCAGAAACTATTGTACGAAGTGCATACTTTATTACAAAATTCTCTAGTGTAGAAGACTCTGTTGCATCATTTGTAATGCTTTATGGGAATGTCTGGTCACTGCTGAACCCTGTTTTTTTTTTCTTTTCCATAATGACAGCTCTGATTGGTGGATCTCTGTGCAGGATTATGGGTAGTGTAGTTCTTCTCTGGTATTTTGCATATTAAAGTCAGTGTGAAATTATCGATTTTTAAATGCATGTTATTGAAAAACATGAATGCATTTCATTTTTAATTTAATGGTCAATTTAAATATCAATTTTTATAACTCTCTTGAACTTTTTTTATTATTTATTTATAATTTTTTTTTTTTACTAATGACTGCAAGCTCTCATTCAGATGTGCTTCCATCTAATCAGCAACCGATGATACAACCAAGTCCCAGTGTTGTCCTACTTGTTTTTTTTTTCTTTTTTCCTTTTTGATTATCACTCAGATGTACGGCACAATGTGGAAGAAAAGATCTGTTTCTACTTTTGTTACATCTAGATTTATTTATTTTTTTTAAGATGTTGAAATCATGACTTGTGAACTTAAACCGAAGCATATTTCATCATTTAATTATCTTGGAGCTCACGTTGGGTCTTTTTTATGAAAAGCTTGTACATTATTGTTAAAAATCACTTTCCTTATGGAGAAAATGATTAAGATTCTCTAACTGTGTCCCAAATGACGCACTATGCATACTATTTACTTATGCACTATTTACTCAACCATGTAGTGTATGAATTATATAAGGTTATTTTGTCATTCTTAAATGGAGTCTGATAGCCCCTCCCCCTTCGCTACATAATTACCGCTGCAACAGTTGCGTGCATGAAGTGTTCAACATTCCACACTAAGTTTTTTCGGTTATTTAAGTGCATCATCTGGGTATTTAAAATGCACTTTCTTTTTGGAATTTTCAGTGAACACACTATTATATACTACAAAACGTTATAGAATAGTGCATAAGTATGTGATTTGGGACTGTTTCTGTACAACCAAACAACGAGCAGTTCATGTTACTTAAATAGGTAGATTGTATGTAATCAATACTGATCCATTCCTGCAAGTTAGGTCAGATTGCGTTTAAATAAACCGAACCCCAAACCTCCCTTTTCAAGGCATCTTGCTTGATGTGGTCCATTAGTGTGTGAGCTCGACAAACTGAACTCTGATGTCAAACTCTAAAGCTTCCTTGATTTATCACGGATAAAGCTGTACAAAGATTTTCGGTCTGTTTTATGCATTCTTTTGTCCTGCTTTGAGCTTTTAGTCCCCTAAACAACTGCACAATCTCTCTGCATCTCAGATGCCAAGATAATTACACTTGTATGAAAAGCTTGGCTTCAGTAATTAGCTCGCTCACTCACTCACTCACTCACACACACAAAAGTGTAATTTGGCTTCTCTTTTTATCGCTCAGCTTGAAAACATCTCACCGCAATCAAAGTAAATTGGAGTGTTCTGAAGCATTTGTTGCGCCATGCTCTTTGTTTCAGGTGGAAACAGTCAAGCTGTTCCCAGAGACACCCCTCTGCACTTATGTTTTTTTTGGGGTTTTTTTTCGTCTTTTTCGTTTTATGAGAGGAGCCCCGTGGCATTGTGTAGTATAGATGAGACTAGTGTGTGGGATTTGACAGAACTGGGTCAAGACTGCTCCAGATTCCCACTAGTGTGTGAAGATGCGTAGTTTTTAAAGCCAGACTCTGTGCAGAGTGTTTTTGCAAGTTTAGAGAAGTAGAAAGGGTCATTTTAGCTTCACTGATGCCTGGAAGTGCCGCAGTACGGAACCTCGCAATGGATAATTGATCGCGTTTATGACCGCTTCGTGCCACGTTTAATGGTTTTAGGAATAGATCCCTTCCTCCATCTCTTCCCTCCTGTGATTTGCTGTTTTAAACCATGTTCCTCTCTGTATCCCCCAATTCAGATGAACTTCTGCAGGATCAAAAGGCAGACATGGACCAGTTCCTGTCCTCCATCTCTGAATCGCAGCCTGACGTTACTGTGTCCTCTGAGGAGAGTGTGGAGGTTCCTGCCTTTGAAGGAAAGCCTTTCCGCCCCTTCCAGGTCAACTCTCTGGGCTCCCCCGCTGAACCCGAGGGTACGTTTCTTGTCTAAATTTACACAAGCAAACCTTTAAGGCTCGCGGTTGCTCTCCACGGTCTCTCAATATGGCACTGTTGCCGAGGCAGGTTTTGTATCAGTGTCATGCCACTACTACCCCCTTCACTATTGGGAAAGAAACAGCTTAACCCTCTTAGCAGGCTCCTCAGCCGGAGTTTAGCCTGCACACCTGAAAAGTGTCCAAACCCTTTCTAAAACCAGAAAACGGACCAGTCTGGGAGACCAGCAAACCAGCTGAGAGTGGTTTAAGTTGTTTTTCATCAGGGTTGGACCCTGTAGCACTTAAAATGAAAATAACCAATACCCTTTGTAAAAGGGAATGTCATATTTCCACTTCCTGTTAAATATCATATTTCTAGAACTATAGTGTTATTACCGTTTCTAACGCTGAAAGCATTCTGTGAAGGTTTGATATGATTTTCTGTAGTAACTCGAGGAGAATATGCTTGTTTAGTAGGTTAAATGGTTTGCTAAAGTAGCTATAAACAAACTTAAAACACAAAGAAAGGCAAATGTTTAATCTGGCATTATTATATAATATGCTCATATGATATACTGTAGTAATTTCATGTGATATGAGATGTATATACTGTGAAACACATTAAATTGTTCGTTCATCTTTGCAAACAATATTCAACCAGTATTTGGCATGGCACCAGTCAGAAAACTTAGTTAACTCATTATTACCCACAACTTAATAAAGTGAATCTTATAAATCATATTTCACCCCCAAAATAAAAAAAGAAGCATTTCACATATAGAAAATTAAGCATATATTATGGTCTTTGCTTTGTGACTTTATGAAAGTACAAAAATATTATTTTATTATATAAATATTAAAATAAAAATGTAAATATAATATATAAAATATAATAAATTATAAAATATCATTTTCTTCATGCAAAATAACTTTTTCATTTTTATTTTGGGGTGAAATGTGATTGGAAGTTTTCCAGGAAACATTAAGCCACCAGTACCTTGTTCACGTGTTTTTCTCTGGCTGGCTCTTGTTTAAAGTGTCTGTTTTGAGCCAGTACTAGAGGTCTGCTCATAGCTTCTCTCTCAAAGCCGTTCAGGTGAAGCTCCTGTTCGCGTTAACTTGTCTAAATGCTGAATGAAGCCCCGAAGTCCAAATATTGCACTCGGGCCATAGGTTTCTGCTTATCTAAGCTTGCCTGAGTCCCCATTGGCATCGCCTTAAACACCACGCCATTTGAAGTTCAGCTGAATCATAAAGCCTGAGGCTCTGGCGTCACACTGCAGCCAAGTGCTTTGAAAATCTCTCTCTTTCTGAGCCCATTCCTGCTCATTCACTGTCCTGCCTGGGCCTGCCAAGCCTTTAAGGAAACTGCGAAATTAAAATGCGATATACAAAAAGAGCAATGTAATAAACACATTAGAGCCCAGGAGGGCTTTCATTATGACAGGCCTGTCCAGAAACACATCCTGAGTCTTTCTTTCCCCTGTTCTTTGATTTGTTTTTCTTTATCATTCTGTCCCTGCGGGATTCTCCTCTCCGTCCGCAGACACAGCTTGATAAGCCTGACTACTACTTTTACTCACCTGGGTTATTTTCTCTTTTTCTATTCCAATCTTTTCTTTTGTCTTTTGCTTGTACACAATGCCTAGGCGATCTCTCTGAACCCCCTCGTGCCTTCAAGAAAGGTGGGTCTCTGCTGCTTTTCTCTGTTTCTTTTTCTTTCTTCAGCTGCTGAAATGTGTTTGCGCTTTCTTCTTTTTTTTTATTTTTATTTTTTTAATTGTTGCATAGAGGGCTGGGTTATTGAATTTTTATATTTATATATACATTTTATTTTGATTCCATCCGATATTGATTTAATTTTAGAATATTTCACTAATGTCAGGATGCCTGTTTTAATATTAGACAGTATTTTTGTGACCGCTAAAGTGCATTACATGCATTATGAGCATATTAAGAGCATATTAAAAACTATGATCATAAACTATTATTAAAAACTCCATTCTAAATGGAAAAAGTAAATTTTTTGGTATTGTGTGTTCACACACAAAATGTGGAGGGTTTTGTGGCCATGTCCTGGATTAATATTATTGTTTTGAAGTAAATGTTTTTTTTTTTTAAATACTAAAAAAGTAAATTATTATAATTTCATTAGAATTAAAATTAATTATAAAATTAATTATATTTAATTCAAAATTAAAATATAATTTTTTATAAACAAATAATAAATTTTAAAAAGACAAATTATTATTATTATTATTTAAGGATTGTTTCTGTCATTTGGGGATTTTGAGAATCTATATCGGATTGTTTAAATGTAGATTATTCTGTCAATTTTTTTTTTTACCCAGCCCTCCTTGCATACATCTTGACTCATCTCCCCATCTGTCCTCATATTTTTACTGTATTTCCACCCCATGCTTTTGCTCTGTCCGTCCCTTCTGCCCTGTTAGCCATCTTGTTCTAAATTTCTTCTGTCACTCCCTCGGATGGGGAGACCAAACATCACATCCCTCAATGTCTGGCCGGAAGAGCTTTCCCTAATGAAAAGTCCAGGCAGCTTGTTAAGCTAATTAGCCATTTGGATGGGAGAACGAGTCCAATGTAAATGTGCTGTGTACTGCTAAAGCAGTTATGGCTGCCTTACTACCTGCCTGTGTCAGGAAGACAAATAACCTGATTCAGACCCAGCTCTCTGTCGACAGATCCTTAGGACTCATTTGCTACTTATTGGGTCTCCTCTTGTCGCTTTCCTGGTATCTTGCGCTTTTCATGAAAGGAGCTCATTTATTTAGTAGTTATGTTGCAGGACCGCTGTTTAGCTGACCATTGGCCAGTTTTTGCCCCCAGATTGTACAACTGGAACATCGACCTGTTTATCGCTTAACCTTGCAGTCCCACCCCTTATGAATTCGCCTATAAACCTGCTCTTAAAATATTAGTGGTAGAAGCTTGCAATTCACTATTACTATTTTAAACAACCTCCAAACCCTATTTAATCATACTGTATCATTTATACTACAGACAAGAATGATACCTCAAATCATGCGGCTTGTTGAAAAGAGGCCTGATCAAATGCATAACTTACATTTAAAAGGACTCGTAGAGTGTTAGAAATTAACTGTTCCACTAAGAGGCAATATTTGTTCACTGGAATTGATTTCTCAGGTGCATTTTTTTTGTTTGTTTGTAAGGGCTATTTTTATAATTACCTTATTAAAGGGTTAGTTCAGTAAAATAAATGGCTGAAATAAAATATATTTTTAAATAAATTAATTAATTAATTGAACACATTTTATTTCAACTACAGTTGTCACGGCAAGGCAATGTAAAATAGGTCAAATTAAATCAAATAAAAATTTATAACATTTAAATAAATTAAAAAAAATAAATGTGAATCGAATTAATACCAACTATATAGACATTTTTTTTTTTTTAAATACTAAAAAAGTAAATTATTATAATTTCATTAGAATTAAAATTAATTATAAAATTAATTATATTTAATTCAAAATTAAAATATAATTTTTTATAAACAAATAATAAATTTTAAAAAGACAAATTATTATTATTATTATTTAAGGATTGTTTCTGTCATTTGGGGATTTTGAGAATCTATATCGGATTGTTTAAATGTAGATTATTCTGTCAATTTTTTTTTTTACCCAGCCCTCCTTGCATACATCTTGACTCATCTCCCCATCTGTCCTCATATTTTTACTGTATTTCCACCCCATGCTTTTGCTCTGTCCGTCCCTTCTGCCCTGTTAGCCATCTTGTTCTAAATTTCTTCTGTCACTCCCTCGGATGGGGAGACCAAACATCACATCCCTCAATGTCTGGCCGGAAGAGCTTTCCCTAATGAAAAGTCCAGGCAGCTTGTTAAGCTAATTAGCCATTTGGATGGGAGAACGAGTCCAATGTAAATGTGCTGTGTACTGCTAAAGCAGTTATGGCTGCCTTACTACCTGCCTGTGTCAGGAAGACAAATAACCTGATTCAGACCCAGCTCTCTGTCGACAGATCCTTAGGACTCATTTGCTACTTATTGGGTCTCCTCTTGTCGCTTTCCTGGTATCTTGCGCTTTTCATGAAAGGAGCTCATTTATTTAGTAGTTATGTTGCAGGACCGCTGTTTAGCTGACCATTGGCCAGTTTTTGCCCCCAGATTGTACAACTGGAACATCGACCTGTTTATCGCTTAACCTTGCAGTCCCACCCCTTATGAATTCGCCTATAAACCTGCTCTTAAAATATTAGTGGTAGAAGCTTGCAATTCACTATTACTATTTTAAACAACCTCCAAACCCTATTTAATCATACTGTATCATTGCGATCGCATGAGCATGTCCGGTGGATACGGGTCATCATTAGACTTGATGCAAGGTGGAATTGAGCACTAAACATTTGTGTGTGAAAATTGCCAGTCACGGCTGTCAGTGCACATTCGGTCCATTTAGCACTTTGAGAGGGCAGATCAATACCACCAAACACATTCATTCATGTTAAAGCTCAATTTCATTCTTAAAGGAGTAGTCCACCCCAAAAATGGAAATTGTCATCATATGAGGCCAATTCATACTTAGAACGATAACTGTAATGATACCTATTTCAATGGACGGGCTCTCTAACCCTCCCATAGACGGCAAGGTAACTACCACGTTCAAGGTCCAGAAAAGTACCTAGATGACGAAAATGTGGAATAAAGCCGACCCTATTTAATCATACTGTATCATTTATACTACAGACAAGAATGATACCTCAAATCATGCGGCTTGTTGACAAGAGGCCTGATCAAATGCATAACTTACATTAAAAGGACTCGTAGAGTGTTAGAAATTAACTGTTCCACTAAGAGGCAATATTTGTTCACTGGAATTGATTTCTCAGGTGCATTTTTTTTTTTGTTTGTAAGGGCTATTTTTATAATTACCTTATTAAAGGGTTAGTTCACCCAAAAATGAAAATTACTCACCCTCGTGTTGTTCGAAACCCGTAAGACCTTTGTTCATCTTCGGAACACAATTTAAGATATTTCTGATGAAATCTGAGGGCTCTCTGACCCTCCCATAGACGGCAAGGTAACTACCACGTTCAAGGTCCAGAAAAGTACCAAGATGACGAAAATGTGGAATAAAGCCTTTATTTTTGTTTTCGCAGTAGAGACGAGAAAGTGGAATAAATTTGTTATTTTTGTTTTCTTCGTTTTCTTTTTCTTTGGTGAACTAACCCTTCAAAAGTATCTGTGTTGTCTTTTATGTCAACCAATACTAAAATTGAATAATCCAAATACTATTATCGATCAAATTTGATCAACAGCAACAAAATCCGTCTTTACACTGCAAAGGTGTAACAGAAGCTGTATCTGACATTATTATTTACACAGAGTTAGATGCTACTCAAAGTTAGCGAACATGTATTCACACAACAACTGCATATAAATAGTTCAGACTAATCTAAACGCCTCTGGTGGGCCATTGCATTCAGAATCGTGTCTAAATGTAATGCCACAATCAACACACTTCACACATGTCACTTTTACTGCAACTGCTGTAATAGATTTAGTTTAATTGTAATGGGGCATTTTTTTGCCACCTTATCTTGAATTTGTGGGTTATTTATGTTAATTTTAGAGGTATTTTTGCCCCAAGCCCCTGTTAATTTCTGCCACTGGGCTCGAATCTAGCAAACAGACTTGAGGTTGGGCTCTTTTGACTTGAGCTAGTTAGCAACCACTTAGCAATGCCTTAGAAACTACCTAGAAAACCACTCAGAATGCATTAGAAACCAAAAATAGCAACACCCACAAGATACCGGTGACATTTTCTTCCATAATTGTCAATATCTGATTGGTCTTGCTGTTTTTGTTGTCTCATCTCATGTGTAAAGTCTAATTGTCTTGGTGACACACTTCACCTCCATGTTATGAAGTAGCTTGACTGTGTGTGTTCTGGTGGTTAGTGGTTCAGTTGTGCATAGTTAAGCTGTAAACCCTTCTCTCCAGAGCTTGTGACAGCCGCTGAACATAGTTAATCTTTTAGAATCAGTGACCTGCTGCTTTGACAGTCAAACAATGAGTGTGGGTGGAGGGTATTGTTCTTCTGTCGACCAATGAGATTTCCAATGTGATATTATGCAACCAAGACTTATTTTAGCCAGGTGTCTTTGGAGATTTCTAGCATGTTAATGTTTACCCCTGTTGTAGTACAACAGAAAAATGCTATTCATGCCGTTTAATTTCTATTGATTTTATTTTTTTATATATAATCGATGTTTTAGTATCATTGACACTATTATAGTTTTTATTAATATGCTGAATTTATTTAATGTGCCTATATAGTTTTTATCCATTTTTACTTCAAGTTTAGTTTGTTTTATCAGGTTATTTTAGTATATCAAGTTAAACTAAATGAAAATGATTAAACATTGTATTTTTTTAACACCTATTTTATTTCTAGCTACATATTTTTAAAGTTTTTAACTATAATAACCCTGTATGTAATTAATAGCCAAATAGATATTTTATAATTGTTTTGTGGGTAATGCATTCAAACATTTGAATGTAGAAATAGTTAAGACCTTTTAAATGTTAATGTAATAATGTCACATTTCAAAACTAATTGCCATCTTGCACTTGAACATTAGCCTCCACATCCTGATTGCCATCTGAGTTCCCAACATGTAGAAGCTCAAATGTCTTGATTCCTGGTTCTTGTATGGAAAGACCACGTTTGACCATCTAGTCATTTGTTTCACTCAGAAATGTCACATTATGGAAGTAAAATAGTTTATGTATCAAGTTTCATGTTGACTTTAATTGTTTAATATGTGGGGCGAGGATGTATATTTATAGAGCTGTTACTGGAAACAAGTGCTCACAGGATGTCCCAAGACGCTAATTCTACCAGGAAGAGACCTTTTGACCACAATAGATCACACCTCTTACTCTGAGCTTGTCTGGACTGATCCAGGAGGACTCTGAACTTCTACTTCATACACTTAAATAAATGCATGACTAATGAATGAGACGTGTCGCCCCCCCGACTGAAAAAAATAAATAAAAACTGCAAGGCAGCAGGATTCTGGTCACGATTTGGATTGTGCTAGAAGCTGAGGTTATTTAGCTAATTGCAGCTACTGTTGGTCAAAGACATATTTGTAAGCATTTGAGTTTTATTAATTCCGATATGCAAGATTCCATCTGGTCCTCCTGTCTCTGATTGGCTGTTCCCTCTGTAGGCTCTGGCATGAACAGTCTGGATGGTCTGATTGGAGCAGAGGAAAAAGTCATCAACAGCAAGATCAACGAAAATGTGGTGAGCCCACCAGCCTGCCTCCAACACCACACACGCTTCAATGATCTGTTGCGAACACTGTGCCAACTCTCATGACTGAAATTACATAAACACAAAAAAATGCAGGATTTTCAAACACGTTCAGTTTAAGTGCTAATAATAAAATCAAGAATTGGCTTCATGATACACCTAGAGGAACATTTACTTAATAAAGACCACATGCTCTGTAAACTTTATTTATATAACTATGGTCTCATAGTTATAACTGTGCCATATGAATTTATTTGATTTTACTGGCTTTACTGGGGGGTTAAACATTTTGACCCCCAAATATGATGGTCACCTCTCTTTTAAAATATAAAGACGGCTATCTAATGTATAAAAGCCATTTATACTTAGTAAAAAAGGTTATATTATTAGGATTGTTCACCCATAAATGAAAATTCTGTCATGAATTACTTACCCTCATGTCGTTCCAAACCCGTAAGACATTCATTCATCTTCGGAACACAAATGAAGATATTTTTGATGAAATCCAAGAGCTTTCTGACCCTCTATAGACAGCAACAGCACTACCACGTTCAAGGCCCAGAAACGTAGTAAGGACATCGTTAAATTAGTCCACATCAGTGGTTCAGCCATAACCTTAAACTACGAGAATACTACATTTAATACTACTAATAAAACAAAAATGTCAGTCTTCGATGCGCATTCACAAGAGTACCACGACACATGCATGTGGTGCAGGAGCTGGTGAATTTTCATTTTTGGGTGAACTATCCCTTTAAGACGATACGTTGTTGACAGAATTAAATTGGATTTTTATATTGTCATTGCACCAAATTAGCCAAAATTATGAAACTACTTTCTGGAAAATATTTTCTCCGTATTAGATTGACAGCTGCTAGATTTAATTTTTCAATATAACGAGAAATGTATTTCTAGCCCCATTTTTACAATCTATTTTGTTCCAAAGCAAGCACAGACAGTACAACCTGCAGTGAGAGGCTAGTGATGGGCTAAAATTGACAGTTTTTTACTATTAAAAACATGGCTGTCAAACTAATAAAATAATCACAATTAGTCTCATGATTTCTGACTTGCCTTTAGAAAGTGCTGTAGACTGAGAGGGTAATAAATATCAAACACCTCTTAACAAAATTTTCTTAACTTTTACCTCGTTATTTCAGTGTTATGTTCATATATACTTCATTGTCATATTATTTGCATGTTGAGTCTATCTCAATATCTATAGCCGAACCAAAGCCTAAAATCGAACCTTACCTAAAACTTTAGCACTTCCGCTGCCTTGCAATCACTATCTCCTTTCAGATATACAAATCTGCTTTATTTCAGTCTTATCTCATTCATATCCCAGCATTCATTGCATGCCACGTTCACTTATTTCCCAGTCACATTCTAGTTTCCTCTAATCGCAGCTCACACAAGAGCCTGAGTGGTTGTGGAGGGCTGAGCTAGACACATGCAATGCATGATCTCTCTGAAGAATGTGGCTCATGTTCGGCTTGTTTTGTTTGTACAGTATCTCTGCATGTTTGCCTCTCTGAAATCACATAGAGGAGCTATCAAGAGGTTTGTGAGAATCTAAGCATATATATATATATAGTTTATAGCATAAGTCCCACAAGGACATACCCTTGAAAACTATGATTAAACGCAAAAACACACTAAAGTTACACAGCTAGAGGCCAAGGCAAGTGTAAGAAATGTTTTGCATGTCCACTACGATGCAAGGCAAGGAAAAAATTGAGTCAAATGTTTGTTTTTTTTCTTTCCCCTCTCTCTCTTCCCCCTTCTTAGCAATGTCTTTGTATGCCTGTATAGTTGATGTTGCAATCATGGCTTTTATCAAGGACAACCTGTGGTGTGCATTGTTCTTATGAGATGTTATTATATATATATTTTTAAGTTCGCTTTTATTTTCTGTTTTTTTTCCCCTCTTCCTGTGACGGTATTTCTGTATGTGACTTTCACTATGCACCTAAATGGCTCCAATCTTGGACCTTGTCATTGCCTGCTTGATTGTGGAAATGGTCATAGGGGTGAGGGGAAAATAATACAAAGTTCATATATTAGAAGTAAAATATGGTTGAATCCAGTGGAAAATGGCTTCTTGGTTACAGGTGAGAAACACATCAATAAATTCACTACTTCCATGTAGGTGTCATTTTTGTCTTTATTCTACCATTATACCAGTATAAAAAAAATGTATGAATGTTCTTATACCTCATGAGTAGTCTGATTTCAGTTTACAATATAAAATAAAAGCATTTTAAATATGAAATATATTACTTAAAATATATAAATATCATTTTATATAAAATATGCATGAATTACGCTTACATATTTCATAATGAAACATTTCATTTTTTATGTATACACATACATTTCAATACAAAACTGATTTTATTTACTTGGCAAATGAAAAGTAACAGTCAGTATGTGGTGTGGCCACAAGCTTCTTTAAAGGAATAGTTCACCCCAAAATGAAATTTGCTGACAGTGCACTCGCCTTCAGGCCATCCAAGATGTAGATGAGTCGGTTTCATCAGACCAGATTTGGAGAAATCTAGCATTCCATCACTTGCTCACCAATGGATCCTCTGCAGTGAATGGGTGCCGTCAGAGTGAGAGTCCAAACAGCTGATAAAAACATCACAATAATCCACAAGTAATTCCCACAACACCAGTCCATCAATTAACACCACCTTGTGAAACGAAAAGCTGTGTGTTTGTGATCAATCATAAGGCTGTTTTAACTTAAACCATTGTTTCTGGCCAAAATACCAGTTCATAATAAGAATCCAGTGAAAAAGTCAACCCCCTGTTGTCCTCTCTCATCAAAATCCACCAACATGATTTTGCTTGTACAAGTGCTTAATCTACATGTTTCTCTCCTAATTCAGACAACACGACTTTTTCACTGGAGGCAGCAATATTATGGATAAAGGACAACGTTTGAGTTAAAGATGTGTTCACGGTGGATTTATTTCTTGCAAACACGCAGCTTTTCGCTTCACAAGACGTTAACTGAGACTGGAGTCGTGTGGATTATTGTGATGTTTTTATCAGCTGTATGAATAGCACTTCTTCCGCTGCCTTGCAGTCACTATCTCCTTTCAGATATACAAATCTGCTTTATTTCAGTCTTATCTCATTCATATCCCAGCATTCATTGCATGCCACGTTCACTTATTTCCCAGTCACATTCTAGTTTCCTCTAATCGCAGCTCACACAAGAGCCTGAGTGGTTGTGGAGGGCTGAGCTAGACACATGCAATGCATGATCTCTCTGAAGAATGTGGCTCATGTTCGGCTTGTTTTGTTTGTACAGTATCTCTGCATGTTTGCCTCTCTGAAATCACATAGAGGAGCTATCAAGAGGTTTGCGAGAATCTAAGCTACATTAAAAGGAACATTCGGTCATCATTTACTCATCCTCATGTGGTTCCAAACCAGTATGACTTTTTCTTCTGGGGAAGATGATGTTTTATTCAGCTGTATGAACTCTACATTTTCCAAATCTGTTTCAATGAAGAAACAAACTCCTCTGCATCTTGGATGGCCTGAGGGTGAGTACATTTTCAGTTAACGGTCACACATGACGCTCTATCATTCACTCTTAGTGTTTTCAATGCTACCTTGAGGAGGATGACAAACAGGCTAGACAGACTCTCTCAATCGCTGTGAAGGATAATGCTCTCACTCGGAGCACGCAAGGACAAGTTTAGTTCTTTTCGAGTTTATATACATTTAATTATATAAAATATTTAATGAATATACACGGCCATTGAAAGGTTTGTTGTCGGTAACATTTTAGAAAACAATAGTAGTATTACATCACTTCCTCACCAATGGATCCTCTGCAGTGAATGGGTGCCGTCAGAATGAGAGTCTAAACGGCTGATAAAAACATCACAATAATCCACAAGTGATGATTTAAAATTAAAATGCCTTGAAGATGGATTTGTTTTTTTAAAACGCGCAGCTTTTCTCTTTACAAGACGTTAATTGATGGAAGGGGTGTGGATTATTGTGATGTTTTTATCAGCTATTTGGACTCTCATTCTGACGGCACCCATTCACTGCAGAGGATCGTTTGATGATCAAGTGATGGAATGCTACGTTTCCAATCTGTTCTGATGAAGAAACAAACTCAGTAATGCGTAATTTTTCTTTTTTCGTGAACTATTCCTGAAAAGGATCATGTGACACTGAAGACTGGAGTAATGGCTGCTAAAAATTCAGATTTGCAATCAGAGGAATAAATTCAAAGTTATTTTAAACTGTAAAAATATTTCATGATATTACTGTTTTTAATGTATTTTTGATCCAATAAATGCAGCCTTGGTCAACTTCCGAAACATTACAAAAAATCTTACTGTTCCTAAACTTTTTAATAGTTGCTTATGTTGTAGGTACTGATATCTTAAATCTTCCTCTTGTGCTTCAGGTTGATCCTATGCTAACTCCAGAAGAACGTCACCTGAGTAAGATGCAGAACCACGGCTACGAAAACCCCACCTACAAATACCTGGAGCAGATGCAGATTTAGCCTTCATGGGGCGCTGTGGAGCTAGAGAGGGGTGAACATACTACTGACCAATTCTAAAACTGCTCTCAAATCATTTCATGCATTTGAAATGCATATTCTGGTTCATTTAAAAAAACAAAAAACAATGGTTTATTAATGCTACTACTTCTAATACTGCTACTGTTGGAGCGCAATTTTATGCTCTTGTAACTTTTTATTTTATTTTAAAGTCAAGCGTTTTAAATCAGGAGAACATGATTCTGCAAATTAGCCTGGAATTGATTTTCCGTCATTGAAATCGGAACGTATTGTAATGTTATTTTAAATGTTAATTTGATAAAGTTCAGATCTAGTCTATGGAGGTACAGCAAAGCCGAAACAATCAAAACGAGACCGCAGTGTCTGTACACCATCGCTGGCTGCCGGATATACTTCTTTTAAATAGATGGCTTGTATATGAAGGTTATTTGTAACGACTTAAATGTGTAGTGAATCAGAAACTATGAAAAGAAAATCCTTAATTCATTTACTTTGTAATTATTAAAAACACACAATATATACATAAATAGAAAAAGTAGATGGTCAATTTATTCAGTCATTTTTTTTTTTTCTGGAGCTGAAATCTTGGCTGGGTTACAGGTTAAACTTTGAGATTAAAGGACTGATATTCCCGGTCCAAACATCTGATACCATCGCCTGTGTAAGATACGATGAATGGTTCGAACTGAATGGCGTGACGGCCTGCCAGATATTTTGGCTGATTGTGAATGTAGAGGTGCCCGATTTCAGTAACATTTACTATGTCATTTGTTTTTATCTTTTGGTTATGGTGTCATATGCTTGGACCAATAAACGGTGCGGCCCCTGCACATGATTGGTTGGAAGGGCCACAAGGTTAGGGGCCTCCAGTCTCCCATATCTCACTAAAATGTCTCTTTACTCGGAATGAATGTTATTTTTCCTGCCGTTACATGCACACACTCCAACGCTCCCTTTTTATAGTAAATCTGGCCTGATAAAATGTTGCATTCAGCTTGGGTTTATTGCAGTTATACTGTATTTTTATTTCATAGCTGCCTAATGAGAACTGGCATGGAGAGTTTTATCGTGTGGCAATACTTTGCACACATTGCTTACATCAAAGAGAGCATGTCCTCTCTCATCAAAATCCACCAACATGATTTTGCTTGTACAAGTGCTTAATCTACATGTTTCTCTCCTAATTCAGACAACACGACTTTTTCACTGGAGGCAGCAATATTATGGATAAAGGACAACGTTTGAGTTAAAGATGTGTTCACGGTGGATTTATTTCTTGCAAACACGCAGCTTTTCGCTTCACAAGACGTTAACTGAGACTGGAGTCGTGTGGATTATTGTGATGTTTTTATCAGCTGTATGAACTCTACATTTTCCAAATCTGTTTCAATGAAGAAACAAACTCCTCTGCATCTTGGATGGCCTGAGGGTGAGTACATTTTCATTTTTTGGGTGAACAATTCCGAACTATTCTAACGTGTAAATACTTGTATGAACATTCAACACCGATTCAGCAACTGAAACTGCAGATTTGCTCTGTCGTGCTGGAGGATCATGTCAGGATGAGTCTGCAGGAAGGGTACCACGTGAGGGAGGAGGATGTCTTCCCTGTAACACCATAAGCTCAGTCTGATGCTGTGACACACAGTGATGGACCCTCCACCTCCAAACCAATCCCGTTCAAGACTACAGGCCTCGGTGTAACTCTCACTCCTTTAACGATAAACACAAGTCTGACCATCACTCCTGGTGAGACAAAACCATGACTTGTCAGTGCCGAGCACTTTTTGCTAGTCCTGTCTGGTCCAGTGCAGTTTTAAGCATAAACTTTTTTTTTTTTTCAATGCATCAGAAAACACCACATGTTCAATCTGTATCTCAATTAGAAAAATAGGAAGAATTTCTTGCAGTGCATGCCATATTTAATGCTATTAGTTGATGTATTTAAGACTTTCTGATTTTAGGCCTTAATTTATGAAATATCAGAAACCCCGAAAGGGGATTGTATATATTATTTGTGACCCTAGACCACAAAACCAGTCATAAGGGTCGATTTTTTTCCGATCTTAATAAATAAGCTCTCCGTTATGGTTATGTTAGGACAGGACAATATTTGGCCGAGATACAACTATTTGAAAATCTGGAATCTGAGGGTGCAAAATTTTTTTAGAAAATTGGCTTTTGAAGTTGTCCAAATGACGTTCTTAGCAATGTATATTACTAATCAAAAATTAAGTTTTGATATATTTACGGCAGAAAATATACAAAATGTCTTCTACTAGTATCTTTACTTAGCATCCTAATGATTTGACCCATACAATGTATTGTTGGCTATTGCTACAAATATACCCGTGCTACTTAAGACTGGTTTTGTGGTCCAGGGTCACATTTATGTATACAATGTATTGTTGGCTATTGCTACAAATATACCCGTGCTACGTAAGACTGGTTTTGTGGTCCAGGGTCACATTTATGTATTATATAATGAATATAATTTGTGTTATATATATATTACACATTTATATGAAACATATCATGTATATGAGCATAAATGTACACAAGTGCTTGTGTGACTCGCTTGAAATGTCATTGGCACGCCGGACACGTTCTCTCTTTTTTCATTGGACGGCCGTTTGATTTTTTTCATTGGTTGGGAGAAATGGCGGAAAATTCCCATTGGCAGGCACTGTGAGGAAAATGGCATACGAGCATCAAATGCCAATTATCTCGAAATGAAAACCAATTTACACATATCGAGTTCAAAATAAACGACGCGGACTTTATCCCTATCATTCCTGAAAATCTCCATCGATATATATATATCGCAATGTGGCAAGCGTCGCCTGCGGCCGCGGGTCTGTTGCTAGGTAGATTATGTTAATATATGCAAGGCAGCCATCTCTGCAGCTACCATTCAGAGGGAAGACCCACTTCAACCTTTTCCTAAAAATGCTGAAAACTCTCGGGAAATCCACACCCGAAGCTTAAGCGCGGATTGAGACTCGTATCTCAGTAAGTGTCACGTAAAATTCACAGGCTGTTTTCCGTTGGACGGTCGATTAGAGTGTAGATATATTTTGTTGAGTGTCTTCGCCGTGCTTTGTTGTTGTCTTAGTCCCACCCAAAATGGAGTCGCGTCGCGTCTTCCTCATTCTGCCGCAGACTCTCGCGAAGCGCGCCGGGAGCCAAGCGCCCCTGTCCTGCATTTGAAAACCTCCATGAAACTAGTGTGCTCGAATCAAACGACACCGTAGGGCCGCTACAGATCGAACAAGCCCTCTGCTCTCATCCCTCTGTCGTTGCCGACCACCAGCGCGGGTTTATGTGTGATAAAGCTGCTGTGGAAGTGTTTTTGTGGTATAGTCCGATTGGAACTCCCAACTTGCGGGCTTGAGGCAGGGGGGGAGAGCGCCTCACAAACAGCCCGATCGCTTCATTCGCCATTACAGCCGTTATAATCTCTTCATTAGTCTCAGGGTTTGAAGAAGGCCGGGGTGATAGGCGTCTGCGTGTGTTTTTTCTGTCAGCGCGGCTGTTGGGGATTTTCTGTCCGGCCGTGTGCCTCCTCTAAGTTACCCCCGTGCAGTGATTAGACTGACCGCTCCTCCAGTAACGTTACGCGCCTGTGTTTGGGTTAAACGGCGAGCTTTCAATAAATCGCAAATAATAACCCAATGAACGGATGAAATGTGTCGAGCCTGAGCTTTCATCCGTTCCGTTCACATCCGCCACTCTGTCACAAAGCGTATAATGTCATTTATACAGATTAGTCATGGTGTTTTTAAGTACATTGGAGTGCCATGTACATCTCATGGCATGTTATCATTAGGGCATGACACCATCATTGTACCATGGTCAAGTACTTTTTGTAAGGGAGTTATTCCATTCATTTGGAGTATACAGTATTTCTTATACAAGATGACCACCACAGTCATGGAAAACCTGGAATGTTTCCCTCAGACTGTAATTGGAGGCCAAGTCAGATTGCTGGGCAGTAATATAGTTTACATTTTATAATAGTAGATGCAATCAAACAGTTGAGATTTGCTATATATATATATATATATACACAATATTATGTATCACCCTACTTGAATATGTGGATAAAGTTGGACATACTTGTATATCCAAATTTGTAAAAAGAGCTCTATATAAAGAAACCACTCTGCCATTAAATTTGGCATGAAACGAAAATTCACCCCGTCTGTTTCCTAAATGCATATCATAGATCTGCTTTTTTCCCCTCACACTGTTTAATCAAAATGTCATTACTGGATCCTCTGGTGAAAACACCAGGCGTCTGGTGACGTATGCAGGACTTCTCCAGTCATTTAGTCAAAGGAAGGACACATCCTCGTAAGGCTATATATCTAGGCTGCCACATTGTAAAGCCTTGTAAAGTAGGCCTATACTTAGTAGGCAGTCTTCCTTTTGTGTCCTTCATTCAGCCTGCTTTGAAGGATGCATCAGGCGTCCTTCAATCACCCACAATCCTTTGCACACATTCCAATTCATGACAAATCAATTATCTGAAAACGAATCAACACTGAGCTTGTTCAGTTTTATAGTTATGCAAGACAAAAAACACGATTTTTGAGGTGAAGGCATTATATTATTATTATGCTAAATGGTGCATAATGTAAACCCCTGGGAGTCGACCACAGATGGATGTCGTTACCTGTACTGCATTAATAGAACAATTTTTCTTCAAATTATTATTATAATTCTAATTGAATCTAATTCTTATCACTTACTAGACCATCTCATTCTAGCGTTTAATGCTGAGAAGGACTCCAGCCTTGAAGCCTCACTAGGATGCGTTCTTCAATTTAAGAAGCACCCTTAAACTCACCCCTTCAATCTGCCTTCACTTTTGAGTGCCACATTTCACCTTCCAGTCAACAGAACCAAGTTCTAAATAGTTATATTTTTTGATAATCCATTACACTTGGATGTATGCCATAATAGGAAAGATAAGACCTATCAATTAAACTTTCTGAGGTCATGTGGGGAAAATGTTGCATACTACATTAAACAGTGTTTATTTTGTGATGATATTCTAATTATTCATCATAGACTTTTAAAGTGACACGTTCCCCCCACTATTCAGAGTAGTGGTCAATTAATATGGGTTTTTCATAATGGCTCATGCTATTTAGAGAAGTCAGAAAAATCTAATCTTAAAAAGCCATGGCAATTTCTGTTATGCATATACAGGTGTTTGATGAGCGGCGGATAGGTGGAGGAGGTGTTCGGTCTCACCTCATACTGTTGCTATGGAGGCCAAGCAGGAGTCCTCACCTGTGTGGAGTTCAGCACCCAACAATGACACTGGAAATACACCTCAGGTACAGCCAAACCTTGCTCTTTAGTTAGATTAGTTATGTGGAACTATTCTATTGAATGCACTGCCCTTCTCTCTTAAACAACAAATGTTTTTAAACTTTTCTATGAAGTATCTTGATATTAAGTATCTTATATTTCAAAGACTATTAAAGGACCGTTAAGATTTTTTGTTTTGCTTAACTACTCGATTTTTAAAATCTGAATCAATACTAGGCATCATAGACTTGCTGAATTGTTAATAGTTACATGACATTACGCTCTAAACGAGTAAAAGACTGCAAATTAGATTAAAAATCTTGGGAAAATCTGCGTAGTTTACTTCAGCTTTAAAACAATTGCATTACAATTAAGCATGTTCTCCTGCAAAATTTTCATTGTGATGAAGCCAAAAAAAAACATGAACACGGTATAAACCGCAGTATGAATATGTCATGATACGATAATGTGTGCAGGTGCATTTTGAGAGCAGTGCGGTGGCTCAGATCGTGTACAGCGGAGAGCAGTCTGACCGCGCTCAGCAGCAGGTTGTATATGCTGCAGACGGAAGCTCCTACACCTCCGTCGAGTCGGCCGAACACACACTGGTGTACATACACCCAGCCGATGGAACGCAGGTGAGTTCATCTACACTGTGAAGATGTGTGGATTCCAGCAAGCGCACAGGGTTATAATTCATAATTATTGCTGTAATTTAGAAGGGTGATCGATGATACAAGATCGAAGTGTGATGCAAGACTGGTCACTTTGTTGGGTTTATTTTGTGGTAATTATTGGCTGACTGAATGATATTTACATATGTACTCCTCCTGATAAATAATCGCAAACACACTGAAACTCAGGTTTACTGCTCTTTTTCGTTCCTATTCAGGCGGTGTTTACAGATCAGCCCCAAGTGGCCTACATTCAGCAAGATGGCACAACACAACAGGTAGCGTGGCATTGCATAGCATTATGTTTTTTTTTGTTCCATTGATGTTGACCACTAACATTTATCTGTTGCCCTTCAGGTGACTGTGTTGCTACCCAGTGGTCAGAACATGAACACTGCAAATCTGCACGTACTGAGTAATGTAGCTGATGGCCCACAGGCGATCCTGGAACCTGTGACACAGGTGAACCTGCACTGCTAAACATATCCCGCAGGATTTTTGGTGTTGATTTGGAATTGTGGACTGAAACCTCTTTTACGTCGCCGTCGAAATCGCGTTCCAGGGGGTGTTGTTGTCTAGATTTCTTCGCTTTTCTTTAGCAGAAAACCTGTGAAAACATGCTGTATTACAAATCTAGTAAAATACCGTAATCATCAGTCCACAAAAATGTTGGAAATTATGTAAATGTGAAAACACAGCATAACTGGCTCACAGCTCTCAACAGAGTCACACATGCAGACAGAGTGTGAACCGAGATGCTGAAATACCGACTCGTGAGCTGCTCGCATGAACACAGTGCTGTGCTGCACTTAGTTTGATTGACAGACACTTTGATCGTTTATTTTATTCTGAGAAGTGAGCTGTTCACCTGAAAGGCTTCTTAACATTGTCCTACCATAGGCATGAGACTACAGTGTATGAAATAAAGCATCATTTGCATTAGTGAAGCAAGATTAACCTCCTCTTGACTAGAAACGGATTGTTTTCCCAACAGAGCCATCTTGCTGTGACTAATGCAGCTCTTCCCAACATGCTGGAGGCCTCGTCGAGTCCCCTGGGGGCCACCGATTCCACTGTGGATTCAGAGGATGAGGAAGAAGACAACGATAGCGACGATTCTGAAATGGACGACTGGGAACCCAGGACGCCCCAGCCGTTCACCCCTCAGAACCTCTGTGAGGAGACCTTTAACACTCAAGACTGTGTGGTGAAAGGAAATCGGAAATTTTAGTTCTCTTGCAAAATGCAAGGTCAAGTCACTTTTGAATGTGATCATGTGTTATTATTTCTATGTGTAGGGTGTGAAGACTGTAATAATGCTAATCCTGGAGCATGTATAAAGCACGGCCCTCTGCACCCCATCCTCAACCGCCCTGTGATGTCCAAGGCTCGGGCCAGTCTTCCTCTCGTCCTGTATATCGACCGCTTCCTGGGCGGAGTCTTTACCAAGAGGCGTATCCCCAAACGCACACAGTTCGGTCCTATAGAGGGGCCGCTGGTGCGACAGAGCGAACTGCAGGACACGCACATCCACCTGAAAGTACGACAAACCTGTAAACACCTACTCTTTTATTCTCGAGAGTTTTCTAGTCTTGTGTTTAAAATTCTCACATCCTGCTTCTGTGTAGTTATACATGCTAGACCCTGAAAAAGAAGGCGAGAGGACAGAGGACCTCTGGTTTGACCTGACCGATGAAGAGCGATGTAACTGGATGATGTTTGTTCGACCGGCCCAGAATCACTTGGAGCAGAACCTGGTGGCTTATCAGTACGGGTCGGACATTTTTTACACCACCATTAAGAACATACAGCCCAAACAGGAGCTTAAGGTGCGCTTAAAAGAACAGTTTCTCATCTGTATCAAACAAAAGACTGGTCCATATGGCTAAACATTTTATTATTATTTCTACCAGTGTTAATTATTCACTGAAGACACTATTGTAGTTTCTCTTAATATTTAGAATTAGATTTTATTTTGATATTTTCTGTTTTCAATTTTAATTTTAGTCTTGTCATTTTTATTATTATTTTTTTTAAATATGTAGGTTTTGTTCAGTTTAAATTTTTAGTTATTTTAGTACTTCATCTACAACTAAGCGAAGCTAAGAAGTGTTGCTTTTGCAACTAGCTGAAATAAAGTACGTTTTAATAAGTATTTGTTTTTTTAATTTTTTATACTTCAAGTAAAAAATTCACATGCAGTCTTCTATTCCAGGTGTGGTACGCTGCATCATATGCCGAGTTTGTCAACCAGAAAGTTCATGATGTCACAGATGAAGAGAGAAAAGGTTAATCGTCATTGTCTTTCTTTAAATTAGTAACTGCTGGAAGTGTTATAATTGATGACAATGGTGATTCATTCACATAGCCACAGGCATGACAAACTATATATTTACTAAGGACATAACTGTTAACTTTCTCAGAGCTCCGTTCATTTTGGGGTTTCAGTACAATAGAATGTATGGTGTGGTCTACATCGTGTCCAAAAAAAAGTTTATAATATAAATGTTAAAAAACAAACTTTTATCATCATAAAAAAGAAACGCAGTTTGAACATGACAGGGAAAATCGCTCTTGTTAAGACAGACTTTTTACTAAATGTATATATGCAGCTTAATTTTAAATATGTGCATTCATTTCAGTTAATTATATTTATGTAATATCCATTGGGAAGAATGTAATAATGCTTAAAGCTTCTAATCACATCACTGAGGCTGGTTACACACCGGTCAAAGCTTAAAACCTTAAATTAATCTAGCAATCAAAAAAACGTTCATAATATATCTATTCATTCATATAACAATAGCAGTCATGAATTTAAAAAGAATCACACTAAATGCTTATAAACTCCTCCTTTAACTATTTAACTTCTAATTTAACTTCCTATTTATTGATTTTACCGAGAACTGTACCCCTAGCATTTACATCTGACCAATGATATTATCCTAGTAATATTGAAAAAATATGTTTCTCAGTTTTACGTGAGCAGGAGAAGAACTGGCCGTGCTATGAGTGTAACAGACGCTTCATGAGCTCAGAGCAGCTTCAGCAGCACTTAAACATGCACGACGACAAGCTGAACCTCATCCAAAGGTTTGAATGCACATCAGTGACTTGATTTCTCTGATGTTCACGATTGTATTCCTGACAGTAGCTATGTTTCCATCCACCTATTTTTATGCGCATTTTAGGATATCGCATAAAAAATGCTGATTGGAAACGCCAAGATGCGCATATTTATTTTAAATGTTCATATTTCAACAACAAAAATTGGAGTAGAAATTATAGAATTAAAAAGCAAAACAGACTTGTGTGCAATTTTAATGTTTGTTAATGAGAGTTGATCTGACACTAAATTGTACCATTGTTTAATTTGGACTGGTTGTTACTTTAACCTTCAATATTATAGTAATGTAACGATTGACAGCTACATATACTGTACCTGATCTATATACAAATGAATTATCTAAATCAGAATCTAATCAAATCAAAAGAGCTTGTGAGTTGGAATTGAACTAAACTGTGAAATCTGTTAATACCAAGCACAAGTGCTTACTATTGTGCTTCAAAAATTACAAAAGTGGTGCACACTACTGAATACTATAATTTGCCAAAATAAAAGTTCTATGGTTTAACATTTGAAAGCAAAGAAATTAAGAGAGCCATGAATATTAATATTAATATTGGCAATGTAAACCATTCTGCCAAACATCTCCTTTTGCGTTCCATGGAGGAAAGACTTTTGGGTCTCGAGCGAAATGAAGGAGAAGAAATGATGACAGAATGTTCTTTTTTGTGTGAACTAGCTACAACTGAAAGACTAAATCCTGTTTGTGTTCAGCATGCAAACAAAACGGCTTGTTTCAGCCGCCACCTCTGTGACATACAGACCACGCGAGTGCATTGTGTCATTGCTCCCAAATTCAGTGTAATCGAAGCGATTCCTCATCATCCTGCTTGGATTGTTCACCTGGTCGTCTTCTCATTTCGAAAGTGCCCATTCCTCCATGCTTTCTCTCTTCCCTTACCCAGAATGCCGCTCTCCAGCATCTATTCATCCGTAAGTCCTTTCGACCCTTTAAATGTTCTCAGTGCGGGAAAGCCTTTCGAGATAAAGACAAGCTGGACCAGCACATGCGGTACCACGGGCGGGATGGCTGCCGACACATGTGCCATCAGTGCGGTAAGGGCTTCTTGTCGAACGCTGCGCTTGAGGATCACCTGCAGTTGCACTCTGATCAGCGCACCTACTCCTGCCTCTTCTGCGCCGAGGCCTATGACAGATTGGACCTGCTCAAAGTGCATGTGCATGTTCACCTGGTCAACGGCTGCTTTTCCTGTCCTTCCTGCAAGAAAACCTTCACAGACTTCATACAGGTGTGATGTGCTAACAAACAGATGGACACATAATCACAAAATTGTTTCTAAATAGTTCACCCAAAAATGAAAATATGCTGAAAATTGACTTTGTCTGGGATGTAGATGAGTTTGTTTCTTCATCGGAAAAGATTTGCTCACTAATGGATGCTCTGCAGTGAATGGGTGCCGTCAGAATGAGAGTCCAAACAGCTGATAAAAACATCCACACCAGTCCATCAATTAATGTTTTGTGAAGTGAAAAGCTGCTTGTTTGTAAGAAAGAAATCCATCAAGACATTTTAACCATCATTTATGGGTGCCCATAATCCATAATAACTTACTCCAGTGATAAAAAAAAAAAAAACATCCCACGTTGTCCTCTCACATCAAAATCCACCAATATAAGTGTATATACAGTCAAACCAAAAATTATTCAAAGCAGATATAATTTTTGCCATTTCTTTTACAATTGGGTGCAGGACACTATAGTTAATTTATGTAAGTGAGGATAGCGAAATAAAGCAAACTATGACCTATTATTCCCAAAAATTCTTCATACAGTGGACAAGCAGTAAAATTGATAAAAATTTGGGACCAAAAATTATTCAGACACTTTGACCTGACCATGTTTTGCTTAAGTGTTTTTCTTTAATTGCTATTGTGACCATTTTACACCACCGACTGAACAAAATTAAGCATTGCTTGGTAATTGGTTGACCTAAATTGGTATTATTTAATTGAGTACTTACATTTAACAGCTGACAGCTATCCAACTTATTCATCACATATCTTTCTTTAAAAGTTATCTGACATTATTACACAGCTCTGTGGAATACTTGATTCTGATTGGTCAATCGCGCCATCCAGCGGTACGTTATTCCCAGATAACAACCGTCAAATTGAATAACACACCGCTCATCCGGGTACTACGAGTTATCTTGATCGGTACTACTTTTATGCTTATATGCGGTATACTGTCTGGCGCCATCTTGTGACTGAAAACACTTAACCACCTCGCTCAATATTCCCAGATAACAACCGCCAAATTGAATAACACACCGCTCATCCGGGTACTATGAGTTATCTTGATCGGTACTACTTATATGCTTATATGCGGTATACTGTCTGGTGCCATCTTGTGACTGAAAACACTTAACCACCTCGCGTTACAATGGAAGACTTCAGCATTAATTTCAACATATATGGTAAAAACAAATCTTTTTAGCCGTGTAATAAGCGGGATAATGTACATCCAGCCGGTTGTTATCTCAGAATAAACCCCTTCAGGCTGATACAAGACCTGTATCCTGATCACCCTGTCGGGGTTTATTCTGAGATAACAACCGGCTGGATGTACATTATCCCTTGCTTATCAAGATGAATTTGTTTTTACAGTCATTCTAAACTATAGCGAATAAACTGATAATGTGAGAAATCTTGGTTTCTGAATAAATTTTGGTTTGACTGTATGTAGTTTTTTTTTTTTGTGATTAATCTGTGCATATTTCTCTCCTGATTCAGACAAAATTACAAACATTCTCATTTATTCCAAATGCACAGCTTTTCACTTTGTAAGATGTTAATTGATGGACTGGAGTGGTGTGGATTACTTGGGGATTATTGTGAGGTTTTTAGCAGTTGTTTTGGACTCATACTGACGGCACCCATTCACTGCAGAGGATCCATTGGTGAGCAAGTGATGTAAAGCTAAATACATAAACTAAATATGACTGTTTTTAGTGAAATAAACCTTTGATAACAAGTGGATTTTCAAGGGAAAAACAGGAAATCAAAAGTGATATGACCGTTTTAATGTCTGGTTACATGGCAATATTCTTATGTTTAATCGTGGGATTAACCAATCATGCATCTGTGTTGTGCAGGTTAAGAAACATGTGAGAAGTTTCCACTCAGAGAAGATCTTTCGGTGTACGGAGTGTGATAAAGCCTTCTGCAGGCCTGATAAACTACGACTCCACATGCTTCGCCACTCTGACCGCAAGGACTTCCTGTGCTCCACCTGCGGAAAACAGTTTAAGGTGATTCAAATATGCCCAGATGAATATCATTCATGCATAAATGTATACACAAATAAATGCAGTGCATTGTGATGTTTATGCATCTTTAAGATTTTGAATCCATATACATTTGTTGCATTTAAAGTTAGGCATGAAACCTACCTTAGAATGTGTCTGTGTGTTTAATAACTTCTCATTCATTTTGTTGTGTGTTGTTTCTCCTTTGTTGGCCAGAGGAAGGATAAACTACGGGAGCACATGCAGAGGATGCACAACCCTGAACGCGAGGCCAAAAAGGCGGACCGCATCCACCGCACCAAAGCTCTGAAACAGAAGGAGCCCACCACCGACTTTGAGAGCTTCATGTTTAAATGCAGACTATGTATGATGGGCTTCAGGAGACGAGGGATGCTGGTATTTCGTTTTTTTTTTTAATCTTAAATTTGTCTATTACCTGTTTTGCTGTTTCTTAGGCTTTCTAAAATTGGTGTTTTTGAAATCATAGGCCACTTGTGACCTCTTTCTTACTGTCCCGTCCACAGGTGAATCACCTTTCTAAACGACATCCTGAGATGCGATTGGAGGAGGTTCCTGAGCTGACGCTGCCCATCATTAAACCCAACAGAGATTACTTTTGCCAGTACTGTGATAAGGTCTGGACTCCTTCAGCACATGAATGTTCTACTGGGGCTGTTCATGATAGCTGTGAGCTCTGCCAGTTCTGTCTTACCACCTTCTTTGGATCTACACATTTTAACGACCCTCTGGTCTTCACATTGGCTGCATTTATTGTAGTCAACATTTGAAGTGGATCAAAACCTTTCATCAAAGTTGTCCTAAAACCGAAATGCGTTCTGGTATTAGAACAGCTTTGGGAAACTTTTTTGATCCACTTCAAATGTTGACTACTGTACAGCTGACTCCTAGAAAGACAATCGCAGTGTGTCCTAGATCCAAGAGACTTGAGCCTCCTCTGAAAATAGAGTTGCCACTAGGCTCTTCCTGCATAGTGCATTCATGTCAACAGGTTCTCTCTTAAAGTTGATCTTGGAAAAAACAAAACGTAATGCAAACTTTTATAAAAAATTAACAGTATAGGGTTCCCATAGTAATGGAAAACTTGGAAATATCTTTTGATCCACTTCAAATGTTGACTACTGTACAGCTGACTCCTAGAAAGACAATCGCAGTGTGTCCTAGAGCCAAGAGACTTGAGCCTCCTCTGAAAATAGAGTTGCCACTAGGCTCTTCCTGCATAGTGCATTCGTGTCAACAGGTTCTCTCTTAAAGTTGATCTTGGAAAAAACAAAACGTAATGCAAACTTTTATAAAAAATTAACAGTATAGGGTTCCCATAGTAATGGAAAACTTGGAAATATCAGTCGATTATTGCGTTTTGAGAAAAAAAAAAAAGTTGATTTCCAGTCCTGGTCATGGAAACACACACACACACACGTATACAGTGTTGTTCAAAAGTTTGGGATCAGTAAGAATTTTAATGTTTTTTTTTAAAGAATTCTCTTATGCTCATCATGGCTGCATTTATTTGATCAAAAACAGGAAAAATATTATTGCAATTTAATATAAATATTTTCTGTTTTAATATACTTAAAAGTAAAAAAAATTCCTGTTATGCAAAGTGAATTTTTATCTTCACACCTACGTCTTCAGTGTCACATGATCCTTCAGAGATCAAATATGCTGATATATTATCAATGTTGGAAACAGCTAAATATTTTTTTTGGAACCTGTATATACTTTTAAATACTAAAAATAGTTTTTCAGGATTCTTTTATGAATAAAAAGTTAAAGAACAGCATTTATTGAAAATAGAAACAATATACACTACTGTTCAAAAATTTGGGGTCGGTACTTTTTTTTTTTTTTTTTTTAAAGAAATTAACACTTATATTCAGCAAGCATGTGTTAAATTGATAAAAAAAAGTGATAGTTAAGACTTATATTGTTAGAAAATATTTTTATTTTAAATAAATGTTTTTACATTTTATATTCATCAAAGATCAAAGAATCCTGTCAAAAAGTACCACAGCTTCCAAAAAAACAATTTTTTTTAAAGAAGTCTCCTAATTAACATTAAAAATCTTACTGATCCCAAACTTTTGGACGGCACACACACATGTATATTTATATCATGCAATTAAAAGCAACTGAAGAAGTCATAGAAATTCATCCCTGAAAGTAGTAATTGTATTTTTATTTGTATTTTATTTTATAGTAGTAATTTTGTTATGTTATTATTTTATCTTCACCCTTTTCCTTTACCTGTTCAGGTGTATAAAAGTGCCAGTAAGAGGAAGGCCCACATTTTGAAGAACCACCCCGGGGCAGAATTGCCCCCCAGCATCCGGAAGCTGCGTCCGGCCGGGCCGGGAGAGCCTGACCCCATGCTGAGCACACACACGCAGCTGACCGGCACCATCGCAACTGCACCGGTGTGCTGCCCGCACTGTGCCAAACAGTACAGCAGCAAGGTACTATAGAGTCAGTAATGACATGGTACGTGTTAATCTGTATGGATTTATGTGTCCTAACATATGTCTGTTTATTTTTAGACAAAGATGGTCCAGCACATCCGTAAGAAGCATCCGGAGTATCAGTACAACAGCAGCAGCAGCATCCAGGCACCTCTGGCTGCTACCGTCATCAGCAGCACTCCTGCTGTCATCACAACAGACGGCGCTACTGCAGAGGCCGTGGTGGTGAGCAGAATGTGCATGCTCAGACACACTCGCCCAAACACTTCAAAATATACCCTATTTACTTTCTATACAAATGTTTCAGCCTCAATTGGCTCATTAGATTTTTTTTTGTCTGAATTCTATTTAATGATTTAAATTTAGTGTTGCCTTTTTAAAGAGATATCAGTAAAGTGTTACTGATTAGATGGTCAGTAACAACCCAGTGTTCATCAGTTTCTGTTTTCCTCCTAGACGACCGATCTGTTGACCCAGGCCATGACGGAGCTGTCCCAGACCCTGACCACAGACTACCGCACAGCACAAGGGGATTTCCAGAGGATCCAGTACATCCCAGTGTCTCAGGCAGGAGGAGGCCTGTCACAGCCACAGCACATACAGCTGCAGGTGGTGCAGGTGGCCCCGGTACGCACACACTCATTCACACTCGCTTTTTTTTTTTTCTTGCTCTTTTTTTTACTTTGGCTATTCTGTTTGCTTTCATTCTTTTGACTTCAAAAACGTTTGACCGGTACTGTGTGCATATATAGTACATACATTGTTCGCTGCTTCTGTTTTGCATACTTGTGTACATAATCAGTATATGTATAGTGCTTTTCTATCTTCTGGTGAGTTTTAGACTGATTTGGTAAGTGAGTGTTGTGTCTGTTTGTCCCTGCAGGCGTCCTCTCCTCACTCTCAGCACTCTACAGTAGATGTGAGCCAGTTACACGACCCTCACAGTTACAGTCAGCACTCTATTCAGGTTCAGCACATCCAGGTGGCTGAGCCCACGGGGACGGTGCAGGCCAATGCTCAGGTGAGCAGCTGACTTTTACAGGATATGCATGCTGTCTAGGGCTGCACAATATTTTTACATAATATCACAATATGGCTAAGTGTAATTATCAGTGAAGGCTGCAGTTTAATTAAAGGATAAGTTAGTTGATTTCTAACCAACTTTGTATTGTTGCAACATCAGTAGTATGAAGATCCCCCTTAGATAAAAGTATGCACTGCAGTTACTTCAAATTTTATGGATTTTCTCTGGCAAGTCGCCAGAATCAAGCTTGATGGATTAAAGTTTGAAAATTAATAAATTAAGATGTAATTTTTAGTATTGTAATTTTACAGTTGTACTGTAAAATAAAATTATATTTATTAAATACTTGATTTATTTTACATTGCAATGGTATTTCTACAATATATTTCTTATTTTAATATCTCTATTTAATAATAATCGTAAAACAAACAAAAAAAACTATTTAATAGAAAATAATAAAAATAATTATTGTTTAATAGCCATGCTGAATAAGTTTAAAACGGTGGGAATATAGCTCATGAAATCTCAAGTAGAAATAGATGAACAATGTTCATATTATAGTTACTGAAAGAGGTTTAAGTTGGTTCTTATAAAAAAATACTAATATTAAGAAATCTTTACATTAAGTATTTTTTTCCAAATTGTTCAGCCCTAAAATGGTTAAAATCAAAAATTCAAATATGGTTAAAAAGTTATTTTTTAGGTTAAAAGTCTTAAAATTCTGCAAAAATTCCTGTGATACATTTTTGAAGCATATTCACGCCAAGACCACATTTTTGGTCCATAATGTTATATTAGGATGATATATAATGATTCAGTTTCTTGTCAGAGTATATTTAATAAATCAACAAATATAAAATATCTGAATAATTTTGTTTGAAAAAAAAAAACGAACTATACTTTTGTGTAGCTTAGTGGCATCAGTCTTACCATCGCTACCCCGTTTAACACTTTCTATCATCCAATCAGGTTTCAGCTCAGCCTCTAAGTCCCTCCTCTCAGCAAGCGGCTCAGGAGCTTAGCACGGCCCAGCTGACCCCTGTGACCCTCGCTCAGGGCCAGACTCTACAGACGTCCACCAATCAGACGCAAGGTGCTGCACAGCATGCGTACCTACCCAGCAACTGGAACTACAGGAGTTATCGTAAGCATCTTCAGCAAAAGTTCTGTAATAGACATTTATTGCTATATTAACCTGTATTTATACAGAAAACGTAATGGAAGCATTGTGTTCTCCTCCCTTTGCTCCTGTAAGCATCTGAGATCCAGATGATGACTCTTCCTCATACTCAGTATGTGATCGCAGAGGCCAGCGCCCCCGTCACTGCTGCTGTCAACAGCAGTCAGGTCAAAACGGTGAGTGGAAGAACTGTCTGGCTTCCACGTAAATTCCAGTGCTTTTGTTTTCATATTGTAATGCAATTATGTTTTGGTTTCTCGTGAATTGCAGACACATTATGTGATCTCGGAAGGACAGACGGAGCTGGATGGTAAGCAGGTGAATGTCCCGTCCACCACAGGGCAGGTTCACCCCGACCCACTGGAGCAGCCGGCCATCAGTCAGCAGACCACCACGCAGTACATCATCACCACCACCACCAACGGGACAGGGGCCAGTGAAGTTCACATCACCAAACCCTGACCCTCGATCACACATGAAGAAACTGATTCGTCAGCTTCAGCTGCAGAGTTACTTTAAATGAACAGATTTCGGATTTATTTTCTTGAAGAGTTAAAAAGATGAAGTGAAATAGTGAAGATGTTTTTGTATGAAATAATCAGAACACTGGAGTGGTTAACTGTGTTTCTCTAGACACCCAAAAATACCTAATTGTGTATGTTTTCAGGAACTATCATGACTTTTAACATGTGCCATCCTGCCTTTTATCTTAATTTTGGTCTATTTTTCCCCCTCTTTATTTATTCAGTAAAGTATTGACAGATTCTGCATTTTCATACTTGAGTTAGACTGATGAGAGACCTTTAAAAGGATTTCTGTTTCTCTAGACACCCAAAAATACCTAATTGTGTATGTTTTCAGGAACTATCATGACTTTTAACATGTGCCATCCTGCCTTTTATCTTAATTTTGGTCTATTTTTTCCCCCTCTTTATTTATTCAGTAAAGTATTGACAGATTCTGCATTTTCATACTTCAGTTAGACTGATGAGAGACCTTTAAAAGGATTTCTTTTTTTTTATTATTATTTCTTTGTTTCCCCACAATAAAAGGGGTCAAGTGCTGTGGATCCTCACTTTTACTGGCTTTTGTTTGAATATATTTGGAAATCTTCAAGTAAAACTTGGCACAGCCGCAAAGCCTGTAAAAATACTGCCTTGATGAGCAGGCTGATCTTATAAAAGATCACATTTTACCCCAAAGTCCAAAGAGAGAATTAGAATTTGCAGAGAGAATGTGAAGCTTTGTGACTATTAAGCGTTACAATTAAAATTTGCTTGATTGTCATGAACATAATGTCATGATGCAAAAATTTTAATATTCCTAAAATAAAAACAGACTTCAGTTTCTTAATGTATTTTTCTATGGTTTTGGAGTGGAATATGACCTTGACATTTCATTTCGAGAATCTAACATCAATCTCAAAATTGTGTTGTTTTGATAATTAAAGCAAAACTTCCTAGATCAGATCGTCCATGCCCACATCAGCTCCCTTGCAAATGATAGCAAACCCCAAATGAATGCTTTTACTTAATATATTTACTATAAATAATTAAAATATGGTCCACTGAAGGAGTCACCAGCCAGAACGAGGTTCAGATGAAGGTTGAACCCTTCATACCCCACAAAAATCCTTCTCAAAATGTCTCAAGTTATCTGAGAGTCCTCATATTATTTTATGTATTATCTGTTAAAATTACTGAAAGAACTTGTGTATTTCATGTAACTTGTGTTTATGGACATATTAGTATTTATTTGGGTTTTGCACATCCATCAGTGGAGCACTGCTGCAACTTTATAATCTGAGAAAGGGAAATATATCCAGCATACACTATTTATACTGAGACAAACTTGTACAATGTAAAAAAAATAAATCTGTACTATGGTAAGTATTGTAATTATTGACAGTTTATGTACAGTAATGCGCCTCAGTGTCTCTGGGTTGGTGTCTCCTGTTGTTCCTAGTGATGGGAAATAAACGTCCTTTTGTACACTTCATGGCTTTATTGTCTGTCAGTCCTCAAATCCCTCATCTTGGCTTTATTTTCTTTGACTGCCTTTTTTAAAGAAATATTCTGGAATAGATACAAAACTAAGATCTATCTACAGTATAATTTCAAGTATAATGTAATCTTTTGACTCAATATCTCCCATTTAAACCCAGTAACAGAAAACTCCTGTTTTATTCTGTACTGAAGCCTGATTTGTTCACGTTTGCGTAGCTGCACAAACCAATGGTGCTTTAGCCTGCTAAAAGGGGCAGAGCCAAACTCTATATAAGTTGGCTCGCAGCGCCATTTCATCAGAATCATTCGACTGAAGCAACAGTCATCGATTTGCGTGCTGCTTATAGCACGGCCAGTGACAACGCTCATTCCCTTATTTCAGGGAACCGAGGTTACGTCAGTAACCGGAGCGTTCCTTTTCAAACGTTCTCTCACGTTGTGTATAGGGAATGCATCTAATCACACCATGCTATGAGCAGATACAGAACGACCCGCTCTGCGAACCCAGTCTTGGAGCACTTAAGTAAGGACCCCTAAAGAACATGAGCTATCTAAGTCCCAAGCACAGCTGAGGGCTATCCACATAACCATTTCCACCCTTAGGGAGAAATAGGCAGATCAATCAGACAGAACCCGTGCCTGCAGGGCCGGGATGTCTAGATTATAGAACCTGGCAAATGTGGGCAGCAACAACCAGCCGGTGGCCGCACAAATCTCACCAATAGAGATCCCACTGGACCATGCCCAGGAGGAGGCAGTTCCTCTGGTGGAGTGGGCCCTCACACCTATGGGGCTTTGTAAGCCTTCTGAGGTATAAGCCAAGGCTATGGCGTAGACTATCCAGCGAGAAAGCCTCTGCTTTGTAACTGGCAGCCCTTTAGAGTGACCTCCAAAGCAAACAAAAAGCTTCTCTGACTGTCTGAACAGGCTGGAATGCTCAAAATACACTCTCAAAGCCCTTACAGGGAAAAGTGCATTTTCGCTCCAAAAGGGTGATAACCTGGGCTCTGAATGGAGTCGAGAGCACCTTAGGGATATAACCATGTCTAGGCTTGAGGACGGTTTTACAGTCGTTGGGCCCAAATTCAAGACAGGAAGCACTGACCGATAGTGCTTGTAAGTCACCCACTCGCTTGACCGACGCTAATGCCAACAGCAGGACGGTTTTAAGTGACAAAGGCCAGTGGTTTACTCTGATGTAAAAAAGCATGGGACGGGACTCAGGCTTTGAGCCAGTATTAGAGAGACCACAGGTGAAGCCGCTATGAGGCTCAGCAACCTCTGAAAAACCTTGAGGGAACGGGAACTCCCTGGTTTGAAGGAAGCTGCCAGTTGCTGAATAATCAGGGGTCATTCCGGCATAATTCATGAGTCTATGATTGTACCCAGAAAGACTTTTCTGAAGGTTGATCTGCAACCCGATTCGCTCTAAGTGGTTGAGTAACAGTGCTCTATGAGCGGATAACTCCCATTCTGATCTGGCCAGTACCAGCCAGTTGTCAAGGTTATTTAATATGCAGATTCCCATCTGCCTCAGAGGGGAAAGAGCCACGTCTATGTACTTTGTAAAAGTGTGAGGGGCCAGAGACAGTCCAAACGGTTGCAACGCATACTGATAGGCCACCCCCTCGAATGTGAATCTCAAGAAAGGTCTGTGATGAGGAGCTATGTAGCTATGAATATAAGCATCTTTCAGATCCACCGTCAAAAACCAGTCCTCAGGACAAATGTGCGCGAGGATCTGTTCACTCAGACATCTTGAACGGCCGACGCATATGAATGAATGAAGCATTTATATAGCGCTTTATTGAGTAGCTACAGGTGGAGAGGAGAGAGAGTCATAGAGCCAATGAAGTGGTTGGGGATTATTAGGAGGCCGTGATTGACGAAGGACTTACACCCCTACTCTTTATGAGAAGTGCCATGGGATTTTTAATGACCACAGAGAGTCAGGACCTCGGTTCAACGTCTCACCTGAAAGACGGTGCTTTTTGACAGTATAGTGTCCCCGTCACTATACAGGGGTGTTAGGACCCACGCAGACCACAGGGTGAGCACCCCCTGCTGGCCTCACTAACACCTCTTTCAACAGCAACCTAGTTTTCCCAGGAGGTCTCCCATCAAGGTACTGACCAGGCTCAATCCTGCTTAGCTTCAGTGGGCAACCAGTCTTGGGCTGCTGGGTGATATGGCTGTGGCGAGCGTTTTGTTTGTATGGCATATGAGAACAATTCAGATGTCTGAGTTTCAGAATAGGTCTGAGCCCGCCATCTTTCTTGGGGAAAAGGAAGTAGCGACTGAAAAAGCCTGATTCGCTGTTCGCTGGAGGCACTGTTTCTACAGCGCCCTTTGCAAGCAGTGTTTAAACTTCATGTCGGAGAACGTGCACTTTGTTGTCCTGAACTGAAGTCTGAATGATACCCCTGAAACAAGGTGGCCTGTGAGCGAACTGAAGCGAGTAACCTTGTCTTATTGTGTTTAGAACCCAGCTTGACATGCCCGTAATGGCTGCCCATGCCTTGAACCGTGATGCAAGGTGTTCTAATCTTGCGAATGAAGGCCGCGAGGAGGCGGGGAACTTGCACTCGCGAGTTTGAGTGTGGGAAGGGGAAATTTGCTCTTTTGAGTATGTGGGTCCTCTATCACAGCGGTAAAACATTCAGGTACGCGCTGCGCCTGCAGGACGTGACCCACTGGAAACAAAACTTCATCTCTCAGAGGTGCTCGAAGGGATGGCTGTCTTTGAGGGAGAACTGATCCGCTCCTCTTCCTCTCTGCTGGATCAGGACGGCTTCGGGGGCTCATGTTTGCTGGATGCCCAGGCTCAGTTTTTGGCTGGGGCTGAGGCGGCGCTGGCTTCGCAGGCTGAGTGGCGGGGGCTTTCTGGTGACTGGCAGTCACTGAATTGGAGCGCTTGGGGAGGAAGAGACGCAGCGCTTGCAACGTCTTGTAAACCTCAGAGAATCGCTCCGCAAACCAACGATGCTGCACACTGGTGGTGGTTGAGGAGAGACCCCCCCCACATGATTGTAAAGCGCTTTGGGTATACAAAAATACTCAATAAAGCGCTATATAAATGCATCATTCATTCATTCATTCATTCATATGCGTCGGCCGTTCAAGATGTCTGAGCGCAGCCTCACTCACTGTGCCCATCCATCTCGCAGAGCGACATTTATAACAAAGCATGCTGGAAATTTGCTCAGAAATTTCTCTGTAATAATGTGTTGGATGGTCGCAGGGATAAGCTGGTCTTCTCCTGCCAGGGGCTCTTTGACAGCGACAGTGAGCAGAGCTGAGCTTCTTCTTCATCTTTGGGTTCTTCTCGCAGAGTCAGCGAAGAGATGATTCTTATCACTGAAGGAGAAGATTCTGATGAAATGGCGCTGCGAGCCGACTTATATAGAGGCTGGTTCCGCCCCTTCTGGTGGGCTAAAGTGCCATTGGTTTGTGCAGCTACAAAAATGTGAACAAATCAGTCTTCAGTACAGAGTAAAACAGGAGTTTTCCCCATACACAACGTGAGAGAACGTTTGAACGGGAACTAATAATATGCACTATTACAGTGTAAACATTCAGAACAGTGTTGTCCAATTTTGTCCTTCTTGTGTACATTTTTTTTATTTTGTTGCTGTATATTTTAAATGATGCACTGCATGAGCTGTTGTGTGTGTATATAATGTGTATGTGTTTGAGGAGGGAGTGGTGCAGCTGGCACAGGTGGGTCGGGCAGTGTCTGACTTCCCTCACCATACCGCATTCCGCACATACTCTTCTTACACACCAACAAGGAAAACAATAAAC